TCCAGCAATAGGCGGGCTCGAACTCATGATTCTAGGAGATTTAGAACTGACAACGTAGATGCTGACCAAAGAGTCACAACGAGCAGCACGACGCAAAGACTAATAAAATCATATAAAATTGACATAATCACAAGGATTCGATAACATGTTTACAGTTTTTGGTTAAAACTATAAAAATGTTAACGAAATTATAAGAAATATTTACAAACATAAATACGAACGACTCAATTCTTATGTGTTTAGGTAAACTTTAATGTATACATCTACGCATGGAAAAAAAAATATATTCACATTGTAAAAATTAAAATTTGTGTTATTTTTTATAGGATGGCTAAGATTTAGATGACATGGTATAAAATCCAAATTTTAGTTTTAATTTATGTAAATACATAAAAAATGAGCGGTATATATGTAAATCCCCTAAATTATAAAATTAAAGGGGGCTTGGAGATATAATACTTTCAAAGTTCTTTATATAAGAACAACATTTTGGACATATATCATGAGCTGATTATGCCACAAAAAAATTGTGCGGTGTATATAAATTCCACCTTTTAAATTATTAATTTTAAAAATGTGAAATACACAATTTCAGGTATAAATTTTTTTGTCATAAATAGGGCTGTCAAAACTGCTCGTTATTCACGAACAACTCGTGTTCGACTCGTTAAGAAAATTGTGTTCGACTCGTTTGTTAAATTAATGAGCTGAACACGAATAAAGATTTGTTATGTCATGTTTGACTCGTTTTGACTCGAAATACTACTCATCAATTACACACACACACACACACACGAAATACTACTCATCAATTATACATGATGAGTAGTATTTTTAAAAATTTTAATTGACCAAAAGGCTACAAAGATTTATAATTAATTTAAATTATTAATTAAGAAAATAGAATACAAATTATTAAATTAGATTCAAATGATGTTTTATTCCCCAATCCTTAAATCTCATGGCTACGTGATTAGGGTTGTTAAAACGACTATTTGTTTGTGAACGGCTCGTGGTCGGGACTTGCGTTCGGCTCGTTAAGCAAACGAGGCGAACACGAACACACTTTTTGAGCTCGAAATATAAACGAGTCCAAGGCTCATCTCGTGTTCGACTCGTTTACACCTCTAGTCATAAAGCTATTAAAAAATATAAATATCAAAATTTAAAATTAGATACTTAAATGCTTAAAATTTGTATGGCTATTATTAAATCATTTTTTCAGTGTCCAAATACAAATTTGAATATTTTTTTTTTCAGATAATTAGAGGAAAATTATTTGAATAAATATGATTATAATATTTTGACCAATATTTGATTAAAATTTTTAAATTCACTTAAAAATGTAAGTTTTAATAACTTATATTTAAAACACTTATTTAAGACAAAAATTTTAATTTTTATACACGTGTCATCCTATTTTTTCTTGAAAATATGCATCTAATTTTTTTAATTAAGATATTATAATTTTTTATGCCATGTAAAATAATATAAAAAATTAAAATTTAGATGTTAGATAAATAAATCAATGAGTGATGTGCTGTCAACAATTTTTTTATCTAACACAAATTGACACATTTTTTTATTAAGGAACTTCCAAATTTAATTTCAAGATAATTTATGCCACTTTTTTCAATAATTTTATAATCAAACTAGCTGTCTCAACGAGTCGTATCCAATGACACCAAAATCAGTTCAATCCAGATTTGATCAAACCCACATCAATTCATTAAATCACATTTAGAAGTATTGGATCGTCTATTAAACGATCATATGAACTCAAAAGCTGACATATTTATGGTCCGATCAAACATCCATATCCAATCATGTCCGCTATAGGTAAATGTTGTGAAAAACGACGACAATAAAGCAAAAAAATTGAACGAGTAAAATTGCACGCAGAAAAACACTTGAGCGACACACAGATTTATATGGTTCGATAAATTTGTCTATGTCCACGGAACTGCAGAGAATTTTATTTCCTCGATAAATTACTCCGTCGCAAAGCCACACCGCGATGCATTGTCGCGACGCTCCGCTGCTGTGCATCGCCGCAACGCATCCGAGACTGATAAAAAATCACAGATTTCAACACATGCTATTCAAACACTCAAAACTGCGATATCACCTGAAAGTGTATCTAACTTATTTAACTTAATAGTTTAATTAAATTTAAGATTAAACGACTTAACTTAATCAAGAAAATATGGGACGGCCAGGATCGAACCACGAGAAGCAATCGAAGGTAGTTTCGCGAGAGAAAAACGGCAAAATGTGGGTATGTGTATAAATAAGAAAAATTACATGGTTATTAACGTAAAAGCGCACCGAATCTTTTTGTCCCGTCGTCAAAGACCTAGAAAGCCGACAAAGGCTGAGACAAAAGGCGGCCATGTGACCAGTCAATTGTCTATTCTCTCTCTCTACTTATTTTACATAATATAGTTTTATTTTATTTTAGCTTACATTTAATATATTTTTATTAAACTAGCATTGTTGTATTTTATATTTTTATGTATAGCTTCACACAAATGTGCTATTGCAATCAATCTATTTGATTAATCTTTCACTAGCAAAATAATAATAATGATAATGGGAAATAAATATATGAATAAATAAATAAATAAAAGCTAAGTAGCATATCATGAATGACTATCCCAATGATTTAATAAAATAAATTCATGAGAGAAGAGACCAACACGCTTCAGATTTAATTTGAAAGTTTCGGATTAAAGTTTATTCTAATATTTTTTTAGTTGAATTTAGGTTTGAGAGTTTGATTCGTTTATTATTTTGGTTGAGTTTGGTTTGAACCTGAAATCTCAAATATGACCTGAGTGGACATGAAGTTTCTTATCGGGTTCAGGTGAGCAGGTCAACCACGGTTTCGAGTCTTATTTATCGACACGTTTATTTTTTCGGGTCAGGTTTCAATTGATCGTATTTAGGTTAGTTTATTTTCAAGTTGGACACAAGTCCGACCTGCTGACCTGAATTGGCACATATAAAGAGAAAAGAGAGAAAAAATTATGGTAATTCATTTATCATTTTTTATGTATTTTATATTTGCGAGTTTCGAGCACAGAACCTTTCGGCACATGATGAAATGAATTAAAAAAATAAAACTCTTGCTACAAGCTCTAGTAATATTGACCAAGAACTCAATATGATAGATAAATAGATGTTCGGATTGAGATGAGAATATAATCGAATATGATTTTTTAAGTTGATTTTGGTCAATAGGGATTGTAGCTTCTCAATGCCACCATTGGGGCCACAACAATGTCCTATGGATAAAAATTAAACTAGCATGGATGTATGGTGATTATTGAGGCTGATTTGATTGTTTATGCTTTCACTACAATTGAAGATGTTATGCTTGGTAAATATCCTCATAACTATAAAGAGGCATTTAATTAATTTGATAATGATGAATAAATGATTACTAAATAGATAGGAATGGAATCCTAATAATGATAGCATGAAATTTTAATAAATTATTTAAGTTTGGTAGCACTATGGAGCTTGGTAAGCTATTCATTGAGGTGAGCATGTTGATGAACTTAACTTCTTGTTTTAATCTAAAGCCTCGCGACAAATGATTGAGTTGAGTTCAAGTCAACTCAAATTGTGGGTATAATGTTGACATTTACACTATACTAATTAGAATAACTGATTCAAGATGCTTTTGGGCGGTCGTGTGGTGGCGAATCAACGTTTTTTCAGTTTGGTAAAACTAAAATTTGTCTGCATTTTCAAAAAGTTGTAGTTGAAAATTGTGATTTCTAACCAGATCTGACTACCTACGGTGACTGCTTAAAAGCTACGATCAGACTTTTAAGGAAAAAAAAATAATAATCCACTACAGTTTTTTGAATAACAGTTTCTTCTTTAATAACTAAGCTGATTATTCAAACTGTTGCAGTTGCACAAACAGACTCAATTTTTCTAATTTGTCTTATTTGACAATTTGATATAGTTCTAAAATTGCTTTTGCACAAAATTGATTATTAACCAACTCTTAACTAAAGGGCCCAATTGGGTATACTATTGATCAAATTTTGAATTTTTTATTTTGATTAGATGCCATAAATAAAAAGATAAAAGTTAAACATTAAAATAATAAAAAAATCATGCTAAAAAATTTTGATAAAAAATCATATTAAAAAATTCAAAAGTAAAACATCTTAAATTAAATACTATATATTGCATTAACAAAATATTATTATTCAATGATCATTATGTTATTCAAGTCATATTAAATAATTTTAATATTTATTTCGTCATCCTGGCAAACTCTCAATTCAGTCTCAACAAAATCCTTGAACTTTGAATCTCTCATTCTTGTAGCTCAATGTTCGTGCCAATTTTTAAAACATTAGCTACGATTGTAAGTGAGTCGAGTTAACTTACAAGCTCTCTCAAAACCAATAAATAATGTTTTAGCCCAATCACAACTCACTTCTTTATACATCTAATACATAGCTTGACAATCCGTTCAAATGAATTCATTGATTTAGTTTATAAATATTTATCACATAAAGGGAGATTTACATACATACCAATCAATTCTTATGTATTTACATATCTATATCCTAGACTTCAGTTTTTACCTATATACAATCTTAGGGTCCGTTTGGGGCAGCTTGTGTGTTTCAGTATAAGCTGCTTATCTTGAAACGCGACCCGCATTTAGTGAATAAGTTGATGAAACGTGCGAACCAAACAGTACGACGACGTTTTCAAAACGCCGCCCGCCTTATAAGCTGCCCAAACGGAAACTTATTCTTGCATGAAAAACATAAATTTTACTTTTTAAATGTTGAAATGGTAGTATTTTTTATGTGGCATGAAAGAATTGGGTGAGATAAATGTAAAAATTAAACTTTTTAAAGGTCAAGAGTGTAAATACATAGAATTGGGTGGATTTAGAAATTTTTTTGCAATTTGCGCTAAATTTAAAAGATTAACTGTTGGCACTTGGCAGAGAGGATCAGCATCCCGTAGGGGGAACTCTGGCTGTTCAAATTGGCTTTTTGCGTGTCTGGTAGCTGCGCGGGTTAGCTGCTTGCGGGTGGAGAAGGACGCCAACCAGAGCAGTTGTCATCTCTGCCAAACAAATTGGTGAAAAAGTTAAGTTCAAATCAAAGCAATGTGATTTGTTGCAGTAAAAAAATTGCTGCGGAGTGAGAAATATGCAGACCAAAGGGAGTCTCTTTGTTCAAGTAAGGGAATCCTTCTCCATTTCTGGTTTTTCTTAGGGTTTCTATGCTCCACTGGAATGGTCCTGAGAGGATAAGGTTGCAGTGGGAGCGAGGTTTTACGGCTTCTGGCTGGCCTGCGCTGTGGAATTTTGTCGCAAGCTGAGTTTTGATATGGTATTGGGGCGGAGATAGGTTTTGGTTTTTTTGCAAGCTTGTGGAAGGAGTTTCGTCGGAAATGTGGATTCTGTTCTTCGTTGTTCTTGGTGTGAGGTTGAATTTCTGCTTTGGATTTTGTTTCTGAGACTGTGAAAGCTTGCTCTGTTTCACTTTAATGTGCGATAGTGGGGATTTCGCTTTCTTGTTCTTGTGGTGGCATGGTTTGTGGGGTTTCGAAGTTTAGTTAAGTTCGTATGGAGATGAGAGGGTTTTTTCTGGTCTTTTGGTCCCGCTGGATGCTATGCCTGCTGCCAATGATGTCTTGGTTGGATGTGAGTTCTTCCAATCTTTCGCCCTCGGGTATAAACTATGAAGGTTTGTTGATTCTTGAACTTAACTCTGCGTTCTTAGACTCATGAACCATACTCTTTCTTCTCGCTCTTTGTTTCTCATTTCTATCATTTGCCGGAGCAAACGATGAACGCTTCTTTAATTCGAAAGATGCTACTCTCTTAAGTTTTTCTTTCAGGCGCAGATTTAGGGTTTTCTACTAGCTCATCTAAATTATTTACAATTTGCGCAATTGTGCATCTTATATCATTTCTGATTTTTGAACAGATATTAAACTTCTAATGGATTCCCTGAACTGGATCTATCGCTTCCAGTGATTTACTGTGTTTTTTTCAATTTAATGAGCCTTTTGAGTTATTTTCAGCTCCACATTTTGGGCTCTGAACTCTATCTTGTTCAATATAGTTGTCGCATTGATGGCCATAAAAATGGAGCTCAACGACCCCTACAATGTCCTGGAGAATTGGGACATCAACTCGGTGGATCCATGTAGCTGGAGGATGGTGACTTGCTCTGCTGATGGATTTGTTTCTGCTCTGTAAGTTTCTATGGATTATCAGCTCTGTTAATTTCTCTGTTCTAATAACAGAAGTGAAATTTGTTGTCTTGTTGAATAAATTGACTTTATCTATTCTAGGGGTCTTCCCAGCCAAAGCTTGTCGGGGAATTTATCACCTTGGATTGGGAATATATCGAATTTGGAATCTGTGTGCGTTTTGAAGTTATTTTTTTTAGAATTTTAAGTTACAGCATTGTGTTGATAGAGAACAGAGGCTGTTGAGATATAGATTCAGAAAGTGTTTTCAATTATTGTTTTTTTTGAATTTTACTTCTAGGTTGCTGCAGAACAATGCAATTTCAGGACCTATTCCTTCTACTGTTGGAAGGCTAGAGAAGCTTCAGACTTTAGATCTTTCCAATAATCATTTCTATGGCAGCATTCCTGACTCCTTGGGAGGTCTGACAAATCTGAATTACCTGTAAGATTCATAATTTTTTATTTCTTTTGGCAGTGTATTCTTTAAGTTTATGTACATTTTTATATATAAATATATAGTGTAAAGTGTCAAAATAGTCCCCACTATTTAGATGAGGACATTTTAATCCCAGAGTGCACACACCCACACACACAAATGTAATAAAATTAGTTTGGGAAATTTACATACATAGCGAACAAATTCTTATGTATTTACATATCTCACATCTAAACTTTGATATATTCATAGCACTTTGGTCCTTTAAACCTATGCATGAGGTGTGTTTTACTTTAAAAAAGTTATAATAGTGCTATTTTTATGTGATATTAAAAAATTGAGTTCTACGTGTGTAAATATGGAAGTATAGGTTTGGGTATGTAAATACATAAGAATTGTGTGCTAGGTATGTAAATGCCCCAATTAGTTTTGATGTTTTGTGCAAATGTTTTTTTTCTTAATGCCAAGGTCATTTGGGTTGAAATTAATAAAATTTATGCCGTTCTACTGTTAATATGTCAGGAGACTGAATAACAACAGCCTTTCCGGGCCTTGCCCAGATTCATTATCTAATATCAAAGGCCTCACTTTGCTGTATGTAATACTGTTATCCTTTCCTCTATTCTTCTCTTTTCTTTGATGTGAACTCCCGTGCATTTTAGCATACTACAACATTAAAATTTTGATTTTTGCTCCTGTAGGGATCTTTCATTCAACAATCTCAGTGGTCCATTACCGAAGTTATTTGCAAGGACATTCAAGTATGCGTTCTTACTAGTTTGATTTTTGTTAGTGATGTTGCAGCATTGAACACGATCATCATCATCATTAGTCTAATATTTTTTTATTTTTCAGTATTGGTGGAAATCCTTTAATTTGCTCAAAAAACTTGGGGAATCGGAGTAGCTGTTCGTCCTTGTCTTTGAATCCCATTTCTTATCCTCCGGATGATCTAAAGGGTAACAAAAATTTCTTTTAATGTTTTATTTCTCATGCTGATGATTTTTGATTAATAATTTTAGTGATTTATATTCACCAATATGCTAATTAATAGGCATCTTGGATTTCTCAGCCCAGTCGCATCACAGAGCCATGAGAAGCCGTCAGATAATCATTTTGTTTGCTGCGAGTATTGGATCTCTTCTCTTTGTGTTACTTTTGGTTATGCTTATTTGGTGGCACCATCGATGCAATCGGCAAATTTTCTTTGATGTGAATGGTTAGATTCATTACTTATGGATTTTTTTAATGTTATCGATATTATAATACCTGATTTGTTTAAACTTCAAACAATTTCTTTCTATACCATGTTAACATTATTTAGATGTTGAAGAGGAGTATGTTGTGATGACGCCATGACAATAACTTGACATAACATAATATGAAAAGGGAGTCGGGATTTAGAAAACAAACATTAGATTTTTGAAATATCAACCAAATTTATTAAATGTAGGAACATGAACTTAAGTGGTAAATAATAAATTTTAAAATTGAAGAGGCTAAGTTTAAAAAAAAAAAGAAGAAAAAAAGAGCTACAAATCTAATGATAGAGAAAGCATGGGTGATTTCAAAGATAAAAGAGATAGTAGTGAATATCAGATTATGTTTAGGTTAATACATTCCATGAAAATTTAGTAGTTTACTATAGTTCTTTAAAATACCATACTTAAGATGATTTTTAGACTTAATATGCTGTGGAACTTAAAATTTTATCATATTTATTAGAATATATTAACATGATTATCTCTTTATACGCTTTGCAAATATTCTTTTTCATTAAATTTTATTTATAAATGATCACAATTTTTTGTTTATTACTACTCTCAAGTCAATGCTTATTGTGGTGCAACGAGTGCCTATTTTGTTGACTAGCACCTTGGGTATCATACAATCATATTGCTTCAATTGTGTAATGTTTCTGAAAGCATTGGTTCCATGAATAAAAATAAAAGTAAAAAAATGTGCGTGTGTGAATTTATCAAACAATCATATTGTCTGATTTTAATGTTATAAATTTGCTAATTTGAAATTTATTATTTTTCTAATATTCTTTACGAATTTTTCAATTATAACCACCTCATTCTCTTATATTATAATATTCTTACGGTACCTGTTGCTTATAATCACTCACCCTAACTTTAAAAGATATATTGTCATTTATATCACTATTATTCACTATAATAGGTCCCCGCTCAATGAACTTTTATCATACTTATGCATCATTTTATCTTCTAACAATATGAAAAGTAGTTTTTAGATTATGTGATACTTGTGATAGGTTTAATATAGAAGAATGGGAAAGAACATATTTTTAAGATGGTTTTTTTTTAAAACCTTCAAAAGTATTCCTTAGAAGTTAAAAGCTGTTTAAATTTAGCGCATCACTCTGCTAAAGTGAATTCTAAGATGTCAGCTAGTGCACCTTATGTTGGTTGCATTACCTTAAGCGTACCTAACATTTTTGATATTGTTTGCTTACTACATGCTAACTTAAACAACTAATGGCAGGCTAAATGACTTCGAACAAACGTGAGACCTCCAATAGGTTTGCTATAATTGCTATTTAAAACTTTAAGAACCTCTCTAATACTTGCCACTAGTATGCTTTAGACTCAACCACATGGAATAAATGAACTTATCTTCTATTGTTGTGTGCGCTACCTCATAGCAGTCCTTTAACATAATACTATATCCTTTTTATATATTGAAAATTTAATTTTCTATCATCTTTTATTTTTCATTTTTTCCCCCTTAAATTTAACCATTCATCAATTACATGAAAAAGTAATGATCCGAGGGCATGTAAAATCCTACGTAGAAGTCTAGATTGTCATTTATTCACCTATTAAAAGCAATTCTAAATTATTAAAAGCCTATCTGATTAACTCTAAATTATTTGAAACACTGTACATATTAAGTTGTAACTCGTAATGGCTCGATCTCTCACCCATCGAGTTATTGTTCGCTTTGGCCTAAAGGCTTCACATCTTTCTCATATCAACATATCTTCTTAGGAGGTCACCATCCCAAGAGTGCTTCCATATTAGCACATTTAACATTGGAGTATCAAATAAAATTCCAATCATTACACCAAAAGAGTTCATGATATTTGCGAGTTTAGCTCATTTTGCTTAAGGCGTCTCACAATCTTCCCCATGTAAGGATTGACATCCTCATCAATGTTCTTACTCCATAATCATCAAGCAAACATATAGGATTCTAGAAGTTGCATCTACAAATTCAAAAGGCGGCTTACAAATGTAGCATTTTTTTTATGTATGATACTTACTTTCCATCATTATGTTGGTATAATGCTCGAATTTTGTAGCACTCTGAACTACCATCCATCAAGATATTGTCCGCTTTGGCTTAAGACTTTTTGATTTTGTTCCATTGGTGTAACTTCTGAAGCCACCCATTCCAAGTGTGCTCCCGTAAGGGCAAAGCATACTTAACATTGGAGTTCTTACTAAAATTTGAACCATTATATCAAAAAATACTTTTAGATTTAAGAGTTCAATTTCATTACATTAAAGGGGTTTAACATAACTTTTTTTCCTATTCAATCAAAATTATCCTTTGGATAAATATTGATGCTTTTTTTGATTAAATTACTTTAAATTTTCTTTGAAATTAGGTAAGCTACAAAATTTAATGATGTTAAGGTGAATAGATTCTTATGAACTCAGGTTTGATGGTCATATGGAAAGAATCCCTCTATGTATATTTGAGAGACAATATTATATAACATTTTTTTGGTATATATAGAATAAGCGAACTTATTCTGATTTGGATGAATGCTAGATCCATGTCTATCCAATTCTAACATTAGATTTATGTTGGGATTAAAATTATGCTTCAAAAAATATTTATTTCAAGGCTTTAAAGATCTAATTTTGGTTTCAATATTGTTTTGCTTTTTCTTCTTTCAATAGTTAAGATGTTTAATTTTAGTCTTATGATAAAACTTTCATTCACCTTTTTTTTTTTCGAGTTTAGGTATTTGGTTGCGGTACTCTATATTCTTATTAAAATCTTCAAACATGCATCATTCACATTTATAATTTTTTTAGTTTTTATAGTGAAACTATTTTAAAAAAGCGACATTTTCTTGTTTCACACCCTGAACTTGACTATTTACCAAACTATCTAACTACTTTCATTTGCAATAAACAGTTAAATGCCAAAGCACAGTACAAAACTTCTATATATTTTTTGTTTTTATTAAATTCTCAATGTTTTAGTTTTGAGCCGTGTTCTTCTTTTTATTTTTGGGGACATTTACATACATTAATGCATACCAGTTTAACACCCAATTCTTATGTATTTATATATCTAACACATAATTTGAAATTTTACATTTATACCACCCAAATCTTTCATGTCACATAAAAAAATACCACTATTTTTACTTTTATGTGAATACACTTTTTTTTTTTTGCATAGGTAAGTTTTCTTATATGTAAAAATTGAAGTTTAGGTGTTAAAAATATAAAGCCAGAAATTAAATGGCATGCATGCAAATCTTCCTTTTTTTGATAAAATTTGTATTTATTATTCTCTTTTTTGTATTTTATTTGGAAAGTGGATATTTTTCAGAACAATATGAATCTGAAGTAAGATTGGGCCATTTAAAACGATATTCTTTCAAGGAGCTTCGAATAGCTACCAATCATTTTGATTCGAAGAACATATTAGGGAAAGGGGGATACGGAATTGTTTACAAAGGATGCTTGCGGGATGGGACTCTAGTAGCCGTTAAAAGACTGAAAGATTACAATGCAATTGGCGGAGAAGTCCAATTTCAAACAGAAGTTGAAATGATTAGTTTGGCCATTCATCGGAATCTTCTTAGACTTTACGGGTTCTGCACAACGGAAAATGAGAGATTGCTCGTCTACCCTTACATGCCAAATGGAAGCGTTTCTTCTCAACTAAGAGGTCTGTTGTGTTGTCTAATCTGATTAAATTGCTATTATTTCTTTAAATTTTGTTTAGAACTAGCAACTAGTAATGTAGCTTTTTAATTTGATTAAAGTTATGTTAGCATCTTGCTAAGATTTCTGCTGTTTATGTATATGTAATTTGTAGATATTCATGTAGACCACTGTTATTATTGGAAGAATTCTTAGGATTACAAGATAATGAATGTCACATTAATCTTTTAAAATATATCTGATGAAATAATAAAATTTCACTTTTTGTTGTGTTTGAGTTTCAAAAGTTTGCTAAATTGAAAGTATCTAGAAGATGTGTCTCAACAATTTAACAATTAAAATAGATGAAATGTTAGAGTGGTATTTATTGGTGACAAGGTAATTGAAAATAGATATGGTTTTAACATGTACAACTAATTTTAGAAAATTCACCAGTTTGAAGTGTTGATTAAATTTGTACTAAAGGATTCAGAAGGAAATTGAGGGGATCTACGTTACATGGATAGTATTATTCAAAATCATTCGCGAATAACTTGTTTTGACACAGCAAAATATGCACTAGGTGTGAAGGAAAAATGTCACCTAAGGCTAATGATAATGATGATGAGATATTCTTGTGAAGGTTCATAAGATTCTACATTGAATGGTCCAAAACTATCAGATTTAATAAAAAAGATATGCATTGAATTCAATCCATGTACTTTTTTGATGCATTTTTGATATATCCTGAAGTTATTATTTGCTGTGCTAATTTATGAGCATTGTTTAACTAACAGTAAGCATAATCTGCCATTCTTGGTAGTTTGTAGAATGCAACATTTTCGGCATATAATTTCATTCCCACTCTATTTGTTGTAAACTTATAATGATCCAAGAAAACATTTTTCCATTTAATTTGTGCTGTTCTATCTTCTCTTTTACACGAAGCTAGATTTCCTTGATTTTATTGCATGTAACCCTCTTTTTTCATTATTATTATATGGAAGATTTACATACATACCACCTTATCTAACACCTAAGTTACAATTTTTACATATATGCCACCTCACCTATGCATGAAAAGGTGTATTTCTCTTTTTAATCTTTTTAAAAGTTGAAATAATGGTATCTTTTATGTGTTATGAAAGATTTGAGTGGTATAAATTTTAAAAGTAAAGTTTAGGTGTCATACATGATACATGGCAGGTAGTTGGTATGTATGTAAATTTCCCTTGTTCTATTTATCAGAAAACTGTCCAAATCGGTACATTCAACACCAAAATTTACGAGCAACCATTCTACCATTCTTCAGTATATCCATTCAACTCGCCATTTTCTCTTTCTTGCAGAACACATTCATGGAAGGCCAGCTCTAAGCTGGTCAAGGAGGAAAGGCATAGCACTGGGAACCGCAAGAGGATTGCTTTATTTGCACGAGCAATGCGACCCGAAAATAATTCATCGAGACGTAAAAGCCGCCAATATTCTCCTCGATGAAGGTTTTGAGGCGGTCGTCGGCGACTTTGGGTTGGCAAAGCTTTTAGATCATCGAGAATCGCATGTTACAACGGCCGTGCGAGGAACGGTTGGTCACATAGCACCAGAGTACTTGTCCACCGGCCAATCATCGGAGAAAACCGATGTCTTTGGGTTTGGCATTCTTCTTCTCGAGTTGATTACAGGTCAGAAAGCAGTAGATTTCGGACGAGCTGCGAATCAGAAAGGAGCGATACTTGATTGGGTATGTTTTCGTCTTTTATCTTGGCATCATTATCATCATCATTAGTTGTGGTGAAAACAACATTCTCTCAAATAAATGTCATTATCATCATCATCCTTATTGATTGTTGCTCGGAAGATTTACATAACATAACCACTAAATTTTTATGTTTGTACATGTCAAGCACCTATACTTCAATTTTTGCATATTTGTAACCTTACGTATGCACCAAAAGTTGTATTTCACTTTTTAAAAGTTAAAATAGTGATATTTTTGATTTGATATTGAAAAATTTGGGTGGTATAAGTGTAGAAAGTAAACTTTAGTTGTTAGATATGTAAATACATAGGAATTAGGTGGTATATGCATGTTAATGCCCCATTTTTTATAATAGGCTAGTAGGTGTATTTCTTACCATTTATCATGCATGTTTAAACCAATCAAGTTTAGTTTTAACTGTGTTATCTTCAACAAATGTAGATCACACCATGCCTTTAATATGTTCAGTTAATTAAATCTAATATATCTTAGTATTCTTATTTTTGTTAATGTTACTTTGGTCATTAGTAAATTTATAAAATTAACTATCAAGTTTCAATCATCATCATTATTATTATTATTATTTTGATTACACTATCGAGGAATTTTTTCTTTTAATAACCACATTGTATTGACTTTAGTATTTATATCTTTTTTATCCTCATGTTTTGAGCAAATCGATTTGATATATTTAAGATTAGGAAAATTTGCATAAATATAACTCAATTCTTATGTATTTACAATCTAACACCTATTCTTTAATTTTTACGTATATACCAACATATGAATGCATGAAAAGGTGTACAAAAGCAAAAATTAGATGTTATGTAAATACATAGGACTTGTGTGGTATGTATGCAAATGCCTTTTGAAAATTATTAGACATAGTTATCTTTTTATTCTTGACTAATATTTGCTAATTAATACCAAATAAAATGGTTTTTTAAGTCATTTATTATTATTTTTTTAATCTTCATTAATTATGGTTTTAGTTAAAGTGCATCCCTTCTAAGCATCTATATGAACAAATCCAATATCCATGCTTAACACTGTTTTATTTATTTATTAATTCTTGATATATTTGAAAGCATGATCGCTTAATTATTTTCAATAAATACTTGATGCTTGATGAACATTATACATTTTAAATTCGAGCATTTATCATATAAATTTTTATTCAATCATAGTTTTCTTAAGATTAAAAAAAGCATATCAAACCTCTACCACTGTGGTTATATGTAGCATCAAATCTTTTTAGGGGGATTTATTTATATACATACCACCCAATTCTTATTTATTTACATATTTAACTTCTAAACTTTACATTTTTACCCTTATATCACCCAAATATTTCATATCTTCATTTTCATGCATGAATAATGTGGCATGTTTGTTAAAATTGAAGTTTAGGTTTTTGATTCGTAAATGCATAAGAATTAAGGGACATCTGTGTAAATCTTCCAACTTTTTGTGGAACAACATAAAATTTTGGAGCATTTACATACATATCACACAGATCTTATGTATTTTCATATCTCACATTTAAACTTTCATATTTACACACACAGCACTCAAATTTTTAATACTACATTAAAAATAACTCTATTATAACTTTTTATCATAGTTTTAAAGTATCAAAATGCTATGTATATAAGTAAATACATAAGAAGTGTGTGCTAAGTATGTAAATTTCCCTAAATATTTTTATGCCACAACATAGATCTTACAAACCTTATTACTCCAGGTAAAAAAGCTCCATCAGGACAACAACCTAAGCTTGATGGTGGACAAGGACCTGAAGAACAACTACAACCAGATCGAGCTGGAGGAAATGGTTCAAGTTGCTCTCCTTTGCACCCAATACAATCCTTCCCGCCGGCCGAAGATGTCCGAGGTGGTCCGAATGCTCGAAGGAGACGGCCTCGCGGAGCGATGGGAGGCCTCGCTGAAGCTCGACACGCCCAAATCTCGTTCTGCAGAGCAACCTCAGCCAAAATATTTGGATTTTGTCGAAGAATCGTCGCTCGTGGAAGCCATTGAGCTTTCAGGCCCCAGATGATGATGATACAGAGGCATATATAGCTTTCAATTGTAGAAAGGTTTGATTTTTTTTTGTGTTTTGAAGTTTAGTTTTTGGCTTTTTGGCAAGGGAAGTTGGTTGTGTGGTTTTTGATAGGAAGATACTTTGGCTTCAAGATTATATTCTTGTTTTGTACAAAAGGGACTTCGCAGAAATGAATTTTGACAGATTTTTATGCTTTTTTAGGAAGATTTACATATATACCACTGAATTAATTTATGGGCTTTTTTACATACATACATCCAATTCTTATGCATTTACTCATCTCTCACCCAAACTTTGATTTTTATAAGCTGAACACCCTACCTATAGGCAAAAGTGCAATCCACTTTTTCATATATCCTTTCAAATATAGAAAAATGTGCTTAAGTTGTAAAAAATCAAAGTTTGGGGGTGTGATAAGTAAGAATTGGGTGCTATGTATGTAAATTTCTCTTAATTTATACATATGTAACATCTAAATTTAATTTTTTCATGCATGCCACCTTACCTATGTATGAAAAGGTGTATTTCACTTTTTAGAGGTTAGAATACTGGTATTTTTTATGTGATGTAAACAATTTGGGTGGTAGAAATGTGAAAAAACAAAGTTTTGATGTTAGATATGTAAATTCATAGAAATGGGTGGTATGTATGTAAATTCCCTTTTTTATAGCTTTTTTTAGTCATTGCAGTTTGGCATTTTGTAGAATTAGAGTAACTAGTGATGAAACTGTATCATTAAATTGAAGATTTTTTAGCTTAATTTTATGTGAGTTGATTGTTTTTTTAGGGAAATTCTCATGCATGCCACAATTTTTATGTGTTTACATATATAACATTTGAGTGAAATGCATGCAAAAATAAAAGTTGTGCTGGTAGATGTGTAAATATAAAAGAGTTGTGCTGGTAGATGTGTAAATATAAAAGAGTTGTGTGGTATGCATGTCAATGCCCCTACTTTATGCTTATGTAAATGTATTTGTCATTGAGTGAGAGGTTCATGTTATTTAGAGCTTTTGTGTTAACTTTAGTTTATTGTCATTCTTTTGTATCATGATGTAGTGTGATTTTGCAGAAAATTTTACGTTATGTTGATGAATTGGGGATGATGATATTGATGCACTTTGCAGTTGATGAATTGGGGATGATGATATTGATGCACTTTGCAGTTGAATGCACGGCGTGATGTGATCCACGCTGTCGTCCACACGTCCGGTTTCTCTCGGTTTTAAGCTTTTCAACTTGGGTGGCTTTTTATTTAAAGGATAAATACGCTTTTATTTGTTACATAATGTTAATGTTATTATTGGTGTTTATATTGGTTTTTTTGAGATATTCAGTAGATTGTGGGGGGTGTGGATTCCGAAAATGAGTGGCTCGGATTAGGGATTGACCTGAACTCGGCCCAAGTGTCATACTCGTCTAAAATTCTAACTCGAACCTGACTCACCTTCAACTCTCCAACTTAAATTCAATCCATTTAACATAAGGAATAAACGTTATAACGGTTAAAATTGGATCAATTTTGAGCCAATTTGAGCTAACTTCATGTTAATTATGGGTTGGTGGGCCGACTTCAAGTCAATTCTGGGTTTGGGTACCCAAATTTTTCGAGTCGGGATCGATTTGAGTTTGCGTGTCGGGTCGAATCTTGACACCCAGAAAGAAGATGGAGAGTAGTGCATCTCATTTAAATTTTTTACTCGGAATGATTATTTTTAACATTAATAATGAATTAATTTTAGCATTTATTATGTTATATGATTTTGTCTTGATTGCAATATTTAATCTTAGAGCTTATTTATTTATTTATTTATTTTTATTTCAATGTCCCATCTAAAATTTTAAAACTTCCTTTAAAGATTATATGAAGTAAAATTATTGTTTGATATTTAACTTTTTTTTAATTCTAAAATTCATTTTTTTTTTTAAAAAGAATAGCGAGAAGCTATTATACGAGCCTCTGGTTACTCTGGTCAAGCTGATGTGCTTAAAAATTTGACCACTTTCTTAAAGACCAACTATTATGGAGGGGATTCGAACCCCTTACTTGAGGGGTCATGTACCGTGGATGCCAACCAACAGGTCGGGGTACGTGCCGGGTATGCGGCACGAAATTCTAAAATTCATTAGCAATTAACATGAAATTTCTTGTAATTGGCCAATAATTAAAGATTTGACGAAGAGAAATAAAAGTACCAATAAATAGCTTGATCATGAGAATTTTCAAAAAAATAAGTATTTACATATCTATCATCTTTTTTTTCTTTTACAAAAATACCATCTTAATTATGTATAAAAAGGTCTATTTCATTTTTTAAATGTTAATATATTTTTAGTGATATGAAATATTTGAGTGGTATAAATGTAAAAAAAAGTAAAGTTTTGCCAATGAAAAAATATATATTTGTATTTATTATAAAGTTCTTACAAAATTATGCCAGTGTTTTAACATATAAAATACATTTTTTTCATTTGAAAATTTACATAATATTTAGGATATTTTAAAAAATTAAAAGAAATTAATACTATTTTTAATTTTATAATAGAGCCATTATAAGATATTATTACTAAAGTATCAATTATTATTAAGATAATAATTATAAAATTTTAATTACAAGTTGGGCCAAGTACACCTTGTATCAATTAACTCAATTTCGATTTTTGTAAAAAGTAAAAAAAAAAAAATTAAAATATTAATTTGGAAATTTTCCATAAATAACATACAAAACATTGTTATTTACGAAGTTCACACCCTCAACTATAATATTACAAAACTCGCATATCCATTAACACCTCTGTCTTCGATCATCTTTTTCCCACGAACCACCGACGATCTCTGCTTGCCATTGGTCGAACCTCCAATTGTCTCTGGCGATACAGCGGTTGCAGGCTTCGAGCAGAGATTGCAGCTAGTTTGTGGGAAAGAAATTGTCTAAGACGGGAGAATATTTTATATAGGGAGACCAGACGTTGCAGTGCTTTCTTACTTCGGTAATATACCTTCATGTGTGCTATATCGGCCCACCTATAAAATATTAAAGTGAAATCGCATAGGATATTGGAGTAGAACCGCGGAGGTTATTAGGACATTAACCTTAATAACGTTTCAATAACCTCTAAATAACCCCCCAATAACTTTCACAGTTCCACTCTATAACCCTCCAATAATCCTCCAATAATCTTCGCAGTTCCATTTCAATAACCACTGCAGTAACCCATGTAATAACCCATCTAATAATCCCCAATAACTCCCCAATAACATCCACAATTTCATTTCAATTACTCTCTCAATTAATCCTCTAATAACCTCAGTAACTTCCGCATTTTCACTTCAATAATCCTCTAATAATCTCGACAATACAGTACACGTGTCGGCATATTATTGAAGTCCTCATGTAGAGCTACGTCGGATCTCCATATGTAACAAAGGTGTGGGTTTTGTAATATTGTAGTTTGGGGTATGAAATGCGTAAATAACTTGTGGTGTGTGTCGAAATTTCTTTAATTAATTTAATATTTTGATATTGTAAATAATATTAAATCTTATTATTATTCAATTATCTATATAGCTGGAAGTTTAAACCCTAATATTTATATCTATAAACACCGAAACCCCACCTCGCCGTGGAAGGAGAACACTAGCTGAAGCTGTCGAACCCAATGCCCTCCATGGCTACATCCATAGCTATCAAGGTGGCGAAGAATCCTCTCATCTCTGCACTTCCCCGCTCCCTAACATGGCGCGGCCCCGGATTCCGGCTTTTCTGCAGTAGCGGTCTCGATGTGCTATCACCATCACTATCTGAGCCGGAGCTCGACATGGAATCGTCTGTATACACTCACACCTTCATTCCCGGCCGAAAGTTGCTGGATTCCTTCAGGGAGGAGTTCGAGATTGGTTCTCGCACCATCACCATTGAAACTGGGAAGATCGCCCGCTTTGCGAACGGATCCGTCGTCATGACCATGGACGAAACCAATGTCCTCTCTACTGTTTCCTCTGCGAAAACGGATGGCTCCCGAGATTTTCTGCCCCTTACGGTACATCTCTGTCGCACTCCATTAATCGTATTGTTTCCTCTTTGTTATCTCGTTTTTTGACAGGAGTGTTAGTGTATAGATATGGAAAATCCTATGATTTAGTATAATTTGAGCCAAAACATGAAAAAGATAGTCTTTTGGGTTCAATAGAGGTGTTTGGAGAGAGGATAAGATGTGCACCCCAATTGTATTGCTTCTGGGCCGCATTAGAACTTGGTAGGTAATAGCATGGACCATGGATTTAAATACCAAAACAACCTTCAAGTATAAAGGTGAAAGACTATGTATTGATCGATTTTATCTAAAAAATTATAAATTTGTATCATGAGTTCAATTTCATTGCTTAGCTGCCACCGCATTGTTTTTTTATGAATGTGGAATTCCTTTGGATACATTCTTGTTGTGATTAATTTTATGTTCTATATTTCATTGTATATGTTTATCATAAACGTGAGAAAGGTTGACTATCAAGAAAAACAATATGCCCAAGGTGTCATCCCTACAACATTCATGCGAAGAGAAGGTGCTCCAAAGGAACGGGAACTTCTATGTGGGCGTTTAATTGATAGACCTATCCGCCCGCTTTTCCCTGCAGGCTTCTACCATGAAGTCCAGGTATTCTTTTGCCGCTCAAAAAATTTAAAAAGTACTTTAGGATTCATAAAAAAATTTGGTGCAAACCATTTCTCTATCACATTGTATGTAATAGGTTACGGTGAACGTTCTTTCATCAGATGGAAAACAAGATCCAGATGTCATGGCTGCAAATGCAACATCTGCCGCACTTATGCTTTCTGACATTCCTTGGGGGGGCCCTATTGGTATGATACGCGTGGGGAGGATCGATGGCAGATTCGTTCTTAATCCGACCATGGATGAGGTAATTTTTTCTATGGGGTGGAATTTCAAAATTTAATTTTCTAGCATACTTTTTTGATTTGTCCAGTGAGTAGTTTTATCGTAGGCTTTACAGCTTTGTTTGAACCTTGGTATTTATTTTCACTATATACTCTTATTTATTGAAGAGCTGGCTTTGCGAACCTAATTAAGTTCTGTTAATTGTGCAGCTGAGCATGAGTGATCTTAATTTGGTTTATGCCTGCACTAGAGACAAGACTTTAATGATAGATGTACAGGCTCGTGAGATAACAGAAAAGGACCTGGAAGCTGCCCTAAACCTTGCACATCCCGAGGTTAGGCTGATTGGTTGTGTTTGTTTTGTTTTCTGATTGATGAGTAACGTCTTCTTTACATATAATTATTTTGGCTAGGCTGTTAAGTGCATTGATCCTCAAATAAGATTGGCTCAAAAAGCTGGAAAACAGAAGAAAGAGTATAAATTATCAATGATCTCAGACAGGACAATTGGGAAGATCAAAAGTCTGGCAGAAGGACCAATTGAGGCTATTTTTACTGATGCGGCTTATGGAAAGGTGTTTTTTTTGGGTATCTTTATTGTTATCAATGTACTGTTTTGGCGAAAGATATATTTTTTTGGTTGTCTTATCTTTTCTTTTGTTACTATCTTACCTTTTTAGCCGTAAAAAATAAATTATTAGCCAAAGTGGCTATTCTTCTTTTTGTCTGTAAAGACCCAAATTGTGTTAGCAAGAGAAAATCTCAGGAATAATTATTCTTTGTTTCCTTATATAGGATATTCGTATTTGTTTTTAAGCATTAGAAAATTTGCCACATGCAGCTGCTTAGATCAATCAACTTTTTCTCTAATACATTTTTTTTTTTCGTAGTTTGAGCGTGGTGAAGCCTTGGACAAAATTACACAAGATGTAAGGGCAAAACTTGAAGAAGAATTTGATGAGGACAGTTTGAAAGTCTTACCAAAGGGTGTTGACATGGTTAGGAAACAGGTAATGTATGATTATTGTTAGGAATAAGTCTTTTCTTTGTCCTAATTCCACTTCTTCTCATTGAACAGCTTCACAAAGGTGCATTTTTGTCTGCAGCAAAGCATTTTCTCTGCAGAACTCTTTTATGTTTATTAGAATTGGATGCATTGCTTGTACAACTGGTTTGCAGAAGTAGAAGCCTAAATGTGGTCTGGCATAAGCAATAGGTTATAAGAAAAGGCGGTTTTAACTGTGGACCAACCTGCTCGGATTATTGATTTATATTTGAACTGGTTGGAGTGGCTGATTTGGTTTGATTTTTTATTGATCCGGTATTTGTATTTAGATAGTTTTAGGAAGAAGGGCCTTACTTTCTGATCGTCAGTAATAACATTTTATCTACTTGACAACTGGATATTGATCTTAAAGATTATCACACACCTAAAATTTTAATAAAAGGTAACTAGCCTATTATCATAAAGGAAATTGAGGTAGGATCATAATTTAAAGAAGCTATTTATTTTGCTTAACCCTCGTCTGGATGTCTGGTCGTATGACATACCAATATTTTGTTGTTACAGTTTTCTTATATGTATTTTTTAGGCTTCTAGCTTTGTTGTAATTTACTAGTAGCTTATTTCCTTAACTTGGCTGGGAATATCCATCTTTTATTTTATTCAAGGCTGTACACCTACTTTTTAGCTTCTTTTATAAAAAGCTTACCCACTGTATCAGGCTGCAATATATATTTGTGGTTCACTCATGTAGGGTTTGGGAAAGGGTTAATGTATGTAACCTTACTCCTCCATTAAAAGGAGATTTCTGTGATTTAAACTTGTATCGTCAAACTCAGTGGGTGCAACCTAACCAATGCTCTAAAGTTTGCTCTATTATTTTATGAGTAAAGTGCCAAAATAGTCCCTTTATTATTTCGATGGGGTCGTTTCAGTCCAATAGTTTATAAAAATACCAAACAGTCCCCGGACTATTTTAATGTGGGCTAAAATAGTCCTCGCTGACTAAAATGACTCTTCTATAAACTCTGGGACTAATATGATCCGTTGCAACATTCAAGTGACCATTTTGATACTTTTCTCATTATTTTTTTATTGTGCGTAATTGCATTTTCATAATATACAAATGCGTTGCATGATTTGGCTTGGTTGTAATTTTTTGAGCCGAATCTACTTACAACATAGTTAACGAAACTTCAATCTTTTTTTAACTTTCTATTAATAGATTGTTCGTAAAAGGATTATTGATAAAGGTCTGCGGGTTGATGGGAGAAAACTTGATGAAGTCAGACCCTTGCATTGTGAAGCTGGCACCTATCCCATTTTGCATGGATCATCAATTTTCTCTCGTGGCGATACTCAAGTATGGATGTTGCTTTTAGACTCATCTTCTTGATGTTTTCTTACTTGGATCTTATTTCTCACATGTAAAATTTAGGGAAATTTACATAACTAGCACACAATTCTTATGTATTTTCATATCTCATTCCTAAACTTTCATATTTAAATGCATAACACTTTGATGCTTTAACCCGATGCATGAAAAAGTGCATTCTACTTTTAAAAAGTGATAAAAGTATTATTTTTGATGTGATATTAAAGATTTATGTGCTATGTGTGCATATATGAAAGCTTAGGTGCGAGATATTTAATTGTGTGCCATGAATGTAAATACCATTCAAATTATCTTATAAAAATTCTTAAATTCTCTGAGATTCTCAAAATCTCCTATATAGGTTTTGTGTACTGTAACCATTGGGGCTCCAGGAGATGCACAGCGGTTGGATTCACTTGTTGGCCCCTCAAAAAAACGCTTTATGCTGCATTATTGTTTCCCACCATTTTGTATTAACGAGGTTGGCAAACGTGGTGGTTTAAATAGACGTGAAGTTGGACATGGTAGGTTGTCTGTGTCGTCCTGAAGCTCATACATTGTCGGTGTTAACATTTTCAACATTTTAGAACTTATTGTAACTTTTTTCTTACTGTTTGGTTTGTTGAACTTTAATGTCACAATTTGTTCTTTTGATCCAGTGTCTGCCAGAAGGAAAAAGTATATTATGTATTTGTGAACGACTTTCACACCTAGTTATTAGCTAGCAATATTGTAAACAATACATAATATTTTTTTTTTGGCCATTTCAATACCACTCAAATTTTTTATATTACATTAAAAATACCACAATCATTATTTTTTAAAAGAGCATAGATTTATGACACTAAGGTGTTACGAGCGTAAATATCAAACTTTTGATGTAAGATATGTAAATAAATAAGAATTGTGTGGTATGCATATAAATTTATTTTTTATGATGATATTTTAAGCAAATTATTGATGTGTTGGCTATCAGTTTGATGATAATATAACAAAATTATCAGTCTTATGCTCTATTTTGTTGCGTGAGTTTACAAAATTGGTGGTTCTCGTTGATGGTTTCAAATCGCATTTTCATGCAAACCAAATAATTATTTATTTTCTTTGTCTGCCTTTATCATTTTCTCATCGACTTTATTAATTATATGTTCTTCTTAAATTGACTTGTCTTCTAAGCATGCATACATACATGGATCTTCCTGCCATGTCCATCTGCTGCATGCTTTCTTTATTACCACACACAGGCAGAGCCACTGCTTTACCCTTTGTACTTTTGTTTAAGGGACATTGATACCGGAGTTAATTATAAATGACAATGGAAATGCAACTTTTATTACTGAAATCAAGTAGAGATTACGACCAAAGACATTTAAAACTAGAAAATTGGAAAAGACACTGCACAAACCCAACTAGGGTTTAGGTTGAGGGTGGCGGTGCTGCAGCAGTTTTCAGGGAAATAGCAAGTATGGAGGTTTGGAGGGTTGGAAGGCAATAGTGGAAGGCCACGGTTGGCTGTTGGATGGCTGGAAGGTGGGCGACAATAAGGTACTTGGATTGGAAGGTCCTAGACCGCTCAGGCAATCCCACGAAATTTCTGCCCTGCGTCAATCTCCCGGGGTTGGAGGAGCTTTGACCTTATTCTTCGAAGCTTCTGTTGGCAAGTTGAAGGTGGCGGGGTTGTTGTAGCCTCTGAGGTTGAAAGGTCTTCAATTGTGTCGATATGAGAACTCAAGTCCCACTGCTGGTTGCATTAGTTCCCAAAACACCTCAAGAGCTTTCCTCACGAGCAACGACCCATATCAATGCCATCTTCGGGGAGTACACTATTGAGTTGAATTGGCTTGCTTGTCATGTATATGCTATTGAATCCTCCCAAAGTAACTCTAGGCTAACTCAATCAGATTTGAAGTGATGACAGCCGAAATCTCCTCGAATAGTGTCATCTCTGGTGGTAACCTGTCAATCAAAATGTCTTGAAACTCTCTCTGTATGGGTTACCTTATGCCTACCAACCTGCTATTTTGTCTTGCAGTCCCTTGTCATCACCAAGATTGATCCTCTCGACACTCCTTTACTGGTAAGATCACCTGTAATCGCAAATTCCGTAGAAGGTAGAAGAACTAAGTGTTTGCCTTTTTCATGAATGAATAGGTGTTCCTGAACCCGTCATATTGAGTTATGCAATCATATTGCCAAGGTCTCCCTAGCAAAATGTGACAAACATTCATTGGCATCATATTGCATCAAACTTGATCCTGCAACTAACTACCAATTGAAAACTTGGCAAGACACTTGTTGTCTATGTTGATCAGGTTCACCTTATTCAACCACGTTAGGGAACACGATTGGGAATACCTCTGAGTCATGAGACTGAATTTCTCCATCATTTACATCGATGTCACGTTTTTGCTGCCCCCTCCATCCATGATGTGACTACATACCTTCTTTTCACGGGGCAAATGAGTGTAGAATATGTTGTAGTAAAGTCACTGTTGCTTTCTCATAGCCCAATTTAAAGGTCTCGTAGAACCAAAAACAGTTCGCCCTTATCTTGGGGAAGCTAGTACTTCTCACCCTTTTCATTAGTCGTCTCTTCCTTGCTCAATTCCTCCACTGCACCTTGTTTGGTGAAGAATACAACTTAGCTCGTCATGCAGCTGGAAGCAATTTGTCCAAAACCATGATGTCTGAAGCATTTCTTGGTTGGGGTTGTAGTGGGCTTGCTACTTTTTTTAGGCCTCTCACTCGGAGGGGCTGTTTTTTTATGCTGACAAGCGTGATCCACTCCCCGATACATGCTCCTTTTGAGGTCTCCAAATATTGGTGGCTGTATGACTGGCGGTGGTTACCTGTTTTGCTTCAACTGTCTTTCCACTTTCAATACTAAGGTTTGCATGTCCCTCAGTGTCCAATGGGTTTGCAATTGGACCACATTACTTATGACGGGCTTTAAGCCTGCCAAGCACCTAGCTATTGTGTGCTTCTATGTCTTCTTCGGCTCACACTTCAACTTAAGCTGCATAAATTCTACCGCGTACTCCTCAACTGATATCTCCTTCTGCTACAGGTAGTGGAGCTTCAAGAAAATCCCGACGGTAGTGTGTGTAGGTACTGTCGCTGCATCGTCTTCTTCATTTTTTTCCAATAAGTGATTCAGTTTTGTCCTCTTTATCTCTCTCTATTTATGTTCTTTCACCACAAAGAAGCATTTTTCTTTAGCTTGATGACGGCGAGCTTCACTATTCTGTCATCATGCTCCTCCTTATATTTAATAATTCACTCAACAATTTGCATCTACTCAAAAAAATCATTTGGATCTATTCTCCCTTCAAATTTCGTTGGGTCTACCTTTTTTCGAGATCTCTTTATTCTCCAATAGGCACATCATCTCTGTGTCTTCTAACGGACATTCCATCTCTGTATTCTCTAACTTGCATCACTTCTATGTATCCTCTAACAGGTGCTTCATTTTTGTGTCCTCTAGCAGACATCTCTTATCTGTATCCTCCAACAGACACCTCATCTCTATCTTTTAATAGGCACTTCAGCTCAAGTCCTCCATTGATACTTTACCCCAAAGCGTTGTTGCTCGTCTTCTTCTCCATTAAAATTATCCCTACGGAAGGGATTCAATTGTTTTTCTTGTGCTTTTTCACGGATTTCAGTATTATGGTCGACGGTGATCCCGCTCTGTGTTCTTTCCACAATTACATCGAGCTAATGTAGCACTTCATGGAATAGTTGTTGTATGCGTCCATGGTAGATTCTTGATCGGATTCCAAAAATTGTCTCATCGGGGGCGTGCTTAGGGTTTTGGGTGTCAGAAGGTGGAAGGAGTTGTGATATGGGGAGATGCTATAAGCTCTAGGATATGATTTTGGTTAGACTAGCTATGATACCAAATAATACCAGATTTAATCCCTAATCACCACGAAAATGCAGCTTTTATTACTGGAATAAAATTGAGATTACAACCTATGACATTCAATACTAGGAAATTACAAAAGACAACACAAACCCAACTAGGGCTTAGGTCAAGGGTGGTGGTGGTGCTGTTTACGAGAAATAACAAATATGGAGGGCTGGAGGGTTGGAAGACAAAAATGGAAGGCCACGGTTTGCTGTCTGATGGCTGGAAGGTAGGGGGCAGCAGGGTTTGGTGAGTTAGCTGCATCTGGGAGGTTGCTGGCAAGTGTGTTGGAAGGGTCGGGGAGGCTCATGATAGCAATGAAGGCGCCTTTAAGGGGGTGGCAGCAAGGTGTGAGGTGGTTGGGTGGTAGGCGGCTGCCTTAATATAACAAAGAGGCTGTTTTCCGGGTGGCTGCAGTGAACATAATGACGGCGGCAGTGGAGGGAGGGTTGTGAGATGCAAGGAATGGTAGTTAAACACTACCTCAAGGCGAGTTAAACCCGGAACACCCTTTCGCCTTTAAATAAAACCCTAAGAGGGAGAATTGGAGATGCTGACACCTGTTTTGACAAAAAACAAATAAAAAACTGACTGCAACACAACATAAAACAAATATATATAGCTTAGGCGAAAGAGGAGTGGCCCCCACCCAATGGGCGACAACGCCAAGCGATCAGATAGATCACGACCCATGGTTTGCTTAGACCAGAAGATCCCGGACCTCCCAAGCCATCCCGCGGGATTTCTGTCCCGTGTTCGGAGCATCCCGCTCCCTTGTCAAACATTTACATACGTACCACATAATTCTTATGCATGTACATGTCTAACACCTAAACATTCCTATTTACATGCATGCCACTCCAATCTTTAACATCACGACAAAAATATCTCCGTCATTACCTTTTTAAAAGTAAAATACACATTTTCATGCATAGGTTTATGGCACCATGGTGTCATGAGTGAAAATATCAAACTTTAAATACATTTGAATGCCGTTGTATTTATGTAAATTTCCCTTTGTTTAATCATTGCACCTATCCTGTCTTTAGAAAGTATGATTATGCATTTGCAGGCGATGCAACTTTCTCCACTTCAGTATTTAATTGTTGTATTCGCTAAATGATATGGCATGAAAGTGACATTAGGATCAAGAAGGATGTGCCATACAACCAACACAAAAGAAAGAAAAAATACAATCACTTTGGATAACAAGATTTATATGGCCCAACTTAAATCAAGCCTAAACCCGTGTAAGGGAGAGAGCCCAATTCGCTATCAAGCAAGCGACAATCATAATGTACAATCTAATAACTCCCTTTCCCAATTCTCAAGTACACCCACACCCGATAAAGAAGAGGAATACCCTTGAATTCACAGGGAGATTACTTTGCATTGAGGAATTCTTGGTTTTTTTGAGGGCATTTACATTTATAACACATATTTCTTATGTATTTACATATCTCACACTTAAACTTTCATAGTTACAAACATTGCACTTAAATCTTTAATATCACATCAAAAGTAGCACTATCATCTCTTTTTAGCAGTGAAGTACACTTTTTCATGCATAGTTCATAGTATCAAAATGTTATGTATGCAAATACGAAAGTTAAGTGTGAGATATGTAAATAAGTAAGAACTGTGTGCCATGTTATGCAAATTTCGCTTTCTTTTTTGCATGCAGCATGAAGCTGCTAATTTTGCTCTAGAATTGAGAGGTTATGTCAAAAAGGAAGAAAGAGGGCTCTCTAAATTGCTTGTTTGCGAGCCCTAGTAAATGCCTTCTATGTTATAGCTGTGGATGAATCATATATGTGGAGAGAGAGAGAGAGAGATGCAGTTTAATTTTTTTCTGAACTTCCATTTGTGTTGAGCACAATTATTTTTAAATAGACCTGTTATGATCATCTCAGGAACTCTTGCTGAGAAGGCTTTGCTAGCTGTTTTACCACCAGAAGACGAGTTTCGATATACCGTTCGTGTTAACTCTGAGGTCATGTCGTCTGATGGTTCCACATCAATGGCATCTGTCTGTGGAGGTATTATTATTTTAAGTTTGGAAGATTTACATACATAACACTCAATTCTTATGTATTTACATATCTAGCATTTAAACTTCAATTTTTACATACATGCCACCATTCCTATGCAGGAACAGATGTCTTTCACTTTTTAAAAGCTAAAATGATCGTATTTTTGATGTGATATGAGAGACATGGGTTGTATACATGTAAATAATAAATTTTAGGTGGTAGATATGTATATACGTTGGAATTATGTTGTATTTATGTAAATGCTCAATATTTACCTTTTCACAGCAATATTTTACTTGTTCTGAGAATTTGTTCATGTTTTTTTTCTTTTATTCTCAAGAATTAATACTCTATGCATAAAGTTCTATGCAATTACCGTTATAAACTATGTATAGTGAAGGTTTTTGAACATTGGACGTTAATTTTTAAGTTTATGAAGTATAAATACTGATGTGAGACATTGGCGCACCCCATAATGACAGGAACAGGGACACGAATTGTCCTAACTATAAAAAGCCGCTAGGAATTGTACTAAAAGTTCTTAGCAATTCAATATTAGCTTTTTAGATAAAACCAGTAAATATAATTTATTTAATCTATTGAGTAAAGGTTATAATCAAATTTATGATAACAGTAAGTGATTTTAGACATTTAATGTAGTTTTATGCCTATGACTATTGACAATTCTCCATCTTAAGCAGGGAGCATTTTGATTATCTAGTTCAAATTTGATACAATAAATAAAGAAAACTATAAGTTCAACTTTAATGATACAGCATGTATAAAGAAATACTATATTTAAACTGTATTCAATAGGTGTATTATTACCAAGTCAACAAACAATTATATATTTTTTGATTTCTTATTTTATGTTTAGCTTATATAAGGCTGTAGCATGAATTACTCATAGGTACTTTTTCCTTTGCTACTCTAAATTATTTAAAAAAAATAAAATATCAGAGTTTCTTGAAAGAAGTTATTGGAACTTTTTCTAATTACTAAAATCTACTTTTTTTTAGTGCATACAATATTTTGCTTCTATCTTTTATTGTTGACTTGAATTGGGTTATATTTTTTGGAAGGCTCATAATCATGATTTTTTAGAAGGTGGAAATCTTAGGTTTTCAAAATTTTGATAAAATGCGAAGTCGCCATTGAGTGCTTTTTTTTGTGGGTGGGCAAATTTATTACATCTAATATTTCTTTCTAAATTTTGTTAACTTTTTTTCGTAAGTATTGGGCAACGTAAAAGGTCTCATGATGCCTATTCGTTCTAACACTATGGCGGCATATAGATGGCCTACATAAATTTTTATATAAATGATTAATATATCTTTACAAACAAGATTTCTTATCTATGCATTAGCAAATCCCAAATGTCATTTTAAATTGATTCCAATTGATTATTAACATCTTCATCAGAGGACCAGCAGTGCGGTACATTTAAGGCAAAGTAAATTCGTCATTTTAAATATTAATTTGTCACGAATTGTTATGAAATTCATACTTTTGTTTATTTGTTCTTTTCTCAAGTAACCAGAATTAAATTGTTGAAATGGTGTAGCCTATGTGGAGAGGATATACGGAAAATTTAAATTAAATTGAAAGAACTGGATATCTCGGAAAAATCTGGCATAGGCTATGGATGGCTGATAAAAGTTTAGCTGTAAGATTATTTCATAGGATCACCACAAAAGTTATTTGTTAATTCAATTCTTTTATAATCATTATAATGATTGTTGTTCTGTGGTCAAATTGGGAGGTGCGCTTTCTTAATTTTGTAGTCCTTGTCATTATGCTGCATTTTTTGTGGAAAATTTACATACCCAGCACCCCATTTTTATGCATTTACATATCTCACACCTATACTTCCATATTTACATATATAGCACTTTGGTGTTTTAAATCTATGAATGAATAAGTGTATTGGACTTTCTTAGAAGTTGTAAAATTGCTATTTTTGATGTGATATTTAAGATTTGAGTGGTATGTGTGTAAATATGAAAGTTTAGGTTTGAGATATGTAAATGCATAAGAATTGTGTGCTATGTATGTGAATGCTCTTTTTTTTTTTTTTTCAGTTGCTCCCCAAGTCCTGATATTATATATATTTTCTATAGGTAGTTTGGCTTTGATGGATGCTGGTATACCTGTAAGAGAACATGTTGCAGGTCTTTCAGTGGGTCTTGTCAGTGAAGTTGACCCAACTACTGGGAATATGAAAGATTACCGCATCCTTACGGATATACTTGTAAGTTTACTTTCATTTTGTCAATGTAATTGTCATCATTCTTTTTACAGCTTATTTGATTTATGTGAATTTTTTGGGATAATTACAGGCATAACTATTGAAACTTTGCTGTTTACAAAACTAGATCTTATGCCATTTTTTGAATTACCAAACAGGTGCATTTACAAGTGTAAGATCAAACCATAAGAAATTTGATAAAAATAAACAAAATATGGGTTGGGGTTTTATTTTGAATTTTGATATTTGAGTGCAAATTTGAAAGAAAGTATGAAAGAGGGTGCTTATTTTGTAAATATCAAACTTTCTAGTGCTATGTATAGAATAAAAGCAGATTCGATTTTTTTCATTTCCTTTAAAAACATGCATCTGAAATTTGTTGGAGTTTCTTCACCGTTTGATATTCGCTTTGGTTGTTTATTATGTCCTTTAATCTTCTATAAGGGCCTTGAGGATCACCTAGGAGACATGGATTTCAAAATTGCTGGAACAAGGAAAGGTGTTACTGCAATTCAATTAGATATAAAGCCCGCCGGAATTCCTTTAGACATTGTATGCGAATGTTTGGAAACTGCCCGAAAGGGTCGTCTTCAGATACTTGATAGGATGGACGAAGAACTAAGTTTGCCACGCATGTTGAACGATGGAAATGCCCCACGACTAGGTCGCTTTCTATATATATATATCTCTCTCTCTCTCTTGAAAACGCTTTTCTGTAATTTTGGAATTATATTGGATTTTATTGGTAATTTCAGCTACTATGAAGTTGGATGATGAATCTCTTCGCCGCTTGCTTGGCCCTCTGGGTTCGCAAAGGAAAAAAGTTGAACAAGAAACAGGTACTACCACCATCTTGCTGTCGGTATCGTACTTACATAATTTTAACAATTATGGAGCCCGTCACTTTAAAATACATAGGGGAGAAAAGTGCAACTTGGACATTCATGGTTGGTGATATCTTGTATTATATATTATTTTATTGGTGTTAACTGCACATTCATTATATGAATTATAACACTTCAAGACAATGATTGGTGACTACTTTTATTATTCTTTGTAGAATTAGAGGAAAAACTCCCGTTTTCTCATTAAAACAAATAACAAATGTATATAAGGTTTAGATTGACCCTCATAAAATTGGAGGGAAATTCAAATCATCGCGATTAAAAAAGAAAGAAATAAAAACACAATAATGGATTTATTAAGGTAGAATAATTTCTCCCTCTCAATCATAATAGCGAACTCACGATTTCCTAAACCGAACATGCATATCTATACTCTCCTTTAAGTTGGGTTGTATATGCCGTACATCCCAAACTTGCTGTTGAGATCACTGAAGTGGCGCCGAGAAAGAGTTTGATAAGAATTTCATTAATCTGATACTGAGGTGGGATATAACTTAACTGAACTACCCCTCCATTAACCTTCTAAGAGTTGAAATGTTTGTCAATTTCTATATATTTGATTCGATCATGGTGTACCATATTTTTTGAAATATTGATGGCTGGCTGATTATCAATGAACATTTTAATAGAGTTTTGGCTCTCCATGTGAAGTTTTACTAGTTGTTTATTTTGTCAAATCCCTTCATAAATTCCTAGGATCAAAGCATGATACTTAGATTTTGTACTGCATCTTGCCACCACAGCTTGCTTTTTTTGCTTTTCCAAGTACCAAGGTTATTCCATACAAATAAACAGTAACCCGTGGTAGATCTTCTATCAGTCAATTATCTTGCTTAACTAGCATTAGTATAGATCTCAATGTCACAGTTCTCAGTTTTCTTGAATATCAGTCTACGTCTTGTAGTCATCTTTAACTACCTCAGAATTCAAATGACTACTTCAGATGACCAAGCTTTTCACAACATTCACACCATTGTCTATTCATCTTTGATTTAATGTCCTGTGCTAATTTGCGAGTGTATAAAGTCGAGCTGTCAACATTTGATGTAGTGAGATTACCCAGCATCATGAGTTTCTTCCTCCTCTTTTGTCTTCGTACTTCTACAAAGACTTAACGAATTGAGGGAAGAGGGTTGGTCCCCATTATTCTTCCTCTGACTTCATCTGGCTCATTGTTGAGTTTTAGAAGGAATTTGATGGTCCTCTTTTGTTCAACAATGGTTTGTGAAGGCGGAGTCTCATGAGCATTTCCATGTGTATATTTCATACATATTTAGTTGGAGCCAATATTTGGAGAGTATTTGACTATTGAGTAAGACTCAATTCACCTTGTCATAGGTCATATAATCTTGTTCATTGTTAAAAAATTCAGAGATGTTGCTGACACTTAAGTTGGTTTCCCTGGCGGCATCCTAGATTTATCGTTATTTTGTAAAGGAGAAAATTTTCTCCAATTTCCATGGTCATGGAGCTAAGAAGCCATGACATGACCATGTGATCTTCAATTTTTCATATCCGATGTTTAGGATCAGTTACTTTTGGTGTTGGATTTTCTTTGTTGAGATAATTATCTTTTCATTTATCACAGATGTACATTAACGAAGATTGAGACTATCGGAGGAAATTGTTGCCATTTAGTTTGTAATTGGTGATGTAGGAATAGACTTCAAATATTGCAGAACCAAATATCTAGGTTTGGGGTCAGACATTACTTATGAAGTGGATGAAATAATTTTCAAGCCATATTGGGCTATCATCAGGATTTTCACTGAAGAAGAGATTGTATGTCATCAACACATAATTTCCACTAGAAAAAGAAAGTCTGTTGCCAATACAAAATTTCCACTGGAGAGATAAACTGCCTGTCGCCAATACAAGATTTCATTTGTAAACTGTCTATCGTCAACGCATGATTTTCGTGAGAGGGAGAGGGAGAGAGTTCACACCTAGCCGGGTGGAATTGATTTTATTAGAAAGTGGAAGTCCCGGCTGTAGGCAGGAAGGATAATATGATTCCCACTAAACAGTGCCACAATCGCTGTTTGCGAGAAATCAGGCGATGGAAATGCTGTTTCTGCATAGTGCTCTGCGTGAAAACAATGTGAATTGCTGCTTGCAGGAAAGGAAACAAAGAAAGAAACTTCTATGCATATTGTTCAACGTGAAAATATCGACAGTCACGAGCGCTTACATGAAATGATGCTACAGAAGCCTGCGGGTGGCAGTGAGAGTCTGGAAAGCTTGGCTGGCTTCTGCGATCCAGTAGGGAGCCGGGAGGATTCCGTTGCTGAAAAGAGATCTAGGGTTTTTTCCCTAGCTTTGATACCATGTAAAATTAGAGGAAAATCTCATCTTCTCCTTAGGCAAATAAGAAATACACACACACACACACACACACACACACACACAACTTAGACTAACCCCGATACAATTGGAGGGAATTTCAAATTATCGTGTAAAGAAAGAATAAAATAAAAAATACAATAATGGATAATTAAGGGAGAATAATTTCTCCCCTTCAAATGTAATAGCGGACCCACTATTTTCTATACCGGATTCATATCAACAATCTTTTTAACTTTTATGAATTTAGCTGAATTTGTGGACTAAAACTAAGCCCATGTACTCATAAAAAGAGGGGAAGAAAACACTTTTTCTGAATGTCTGATTTGTGCAAACGTGGGATAAGAGTTACAATGTTGCATTTAAGGGAATTTACATACCTAGCACATAATTCTTATGTATTTACATTTCTCACAACTAAACTTCAAATTTATACATTATAAGGTACATCTTATTTTTAGAAAATTGTAATAGTACTATTTTTAATGTTATATTAAAGATTCGAGTACTATGTGTGTAAATATGAAAATTTAGTTGTGATCTATTAATACATAAAAATTGTATGCTATGTACCTAAATGCCTCTTTTCTTTTTTATCAAATTCTCAATAGTTTGATCCTGGTACGAGTAAATGCATTGGTTCGGTAGTTCAAAAAATGACCTTTGTTCTAGTTTTGTAAGTTTTAGTATTTCTGAGTGCTGTTTTGTGTATGTAATTATCTGTTTTTTTTAATCCAAAGTCTAACAACGCCTTTTGCTGAAGTGTTTTCTTCAGCATGCATGGCCTTTAGTTGTGAAGGCTTATAGTGTAATAGCTACATTGACAAATGTATTCATTTGTTGAAACAGGGTTATTACTGGCATAAACATGCTCTTCTAGATTGTTTGCGCAAAGCTTTTGATGTCCACTTAATTGTACTTCTGTCACAAACTTATTATATTTTTTGGGCATTTACATACATACCACAATTCTTATGTATTCATATCACAGACCTAAAAATTCATATTTACATGCAAACATTCAAATATTTAACATCACATAAAGATACCACCATCACTATCTTTTTAAAAGTTAAATACATTTTTTCATGCATGGGTTTATGACACCAAGGTCTTATAAGTGTAAATACCAAACGTTAGGTCTTAGATGTGCAAATTCATAAGAATTGTATGGTTTGTATGTAAATTTCCCCATACTTGTATATATTTCTTCTTGCTGATCTCCATAAAGCTGTGCTCATCTCTAAATTGTACACTTTTCCGTTCAGTTATTTTTAGTGTCGGTAAGCTAATTTTTTTTTTACTCCGATGTTTTTTATTTATTTATTTTTTGCAATGTTAACATCTACTTTGAGGAAGATAAACAAATGAGTTCTTCCTGTATGAAATTGATGTTTTCTCTTTTACTAATCTTGGACATTTCAAACTGCTCACTTCCAACATGTCTCTTTTGAATAGGAGCTAGGATTGCAGTGAGTGATGGGATAGTTACCATAGTTGCTAAAAACCAGTTAATTATGGAAAAAGCTCAGCAGAAGGTACTATCAAAAGTCTAATACGATATTGTAGATCTTGTTTTTGCTTTCTAATATATTTTACTTTCATATTTCTTTATTTGCCTATCTTTGGTGACAAATAAGGTGGAGCATAAGATTGTTTTTAAGTTTTATTTCATCTTTTGACCCATATTTATAGAACTCCAGAAGAATTATATAATACGAATGTATGCACAATCAAGAATAGAAAAAAATTAGTTATTCAATTGTTTCCCAATAAATTCACTCACATAGATTGGTTAGTGGGTGCACAGCGTTTGATAAGTTGGTATGCAGGGAGCTAATCTAGCAATAATTCATGAAAATTAATTTCATGAGCACATAGGTCGATGAGGTGGCATGCAAAAAGCTGATTCAGGCAAATCATACGAAGATTAATGCTTAGTTAGTTATATAAGTTGATATCTCCCATTAAATTGCTGTTGTTTGGTCAAGAAGCATTAATTTACTTATAAGAAGCTAATGTGTTTATTTGGTCAACACCTTTGTAAATATTTCTTGTTATTTGAAAGTTCGTGAAGTTGTGAGGAATTGAATTAATATGACTATTGAAGTCTTCTTGAATTAAGTGATTATAAAGTTCAATATGCTTGATCTGCTCATAATATATCTGCTTGCAGCAATTTGGATGACACTTGTATTATCAGTATGCGGAGAATATAGTTTCCATTCTAGATAATCAATTGCCAATATGAGCTCTTTCAACTAAAATGAATTTTCACCGATTGAAAAACATTGCTTGATATTAGTCACTGCAATTCGAAGGGTAGGACATTATATGTTATCTCAGTGCATGAATTCGATTTCAATGGTAAATCACTTGCAATTTTTTTTGACTTCTCCTACTTTAGCTGAATGTCTGGCCAAGTGGGCCATGATACTGTTATAGTTTGATATTATATATCCCCTAGTAAGCTATCGAAGAACAAACTTTGTTCAATTTCTTTGCCTATTGATGCACTTCTTCATTGATACCAGAGTTAACCCACACTATAATGGAAATATAAATATTATTACGAAAATTTAAATAGGTTATAACGACGACTCCTCAACATAAACAATACAAACGTGTAAACGAAAAGGACAATGACGACACTGCAAAAAATAAGAAAGGAGGTAACACAAAACACATAAACGGCTCTCTTTAAGGGAGAGCAGCAGTTGACAGAACCAGAAGGTAGCGATGGTAGTGTTGGAAGATGACAGCCAATAAGTGGTTGCTGTGCTGGAAGTTGTGGACAACGACAGGAAGAGGACTGGAGTTTTGATCAACAATAGAGACGGGCTAGACATGAAGGGCGGTTGTAGGGGAAGGGAGAACAGGTTGCTGGGAGGTGAAGGGGAGAGCTGGACAATAGACTTGCGGCAGTTGAAGGTTGTGGCAGCAAGGCTGGAAGGAGATGGGGTGGCCGACGACTAAGGGAGGTGAAGAAGTAGAGGTAGGGAGGAAGATAGGATGAGATACAACACCATCTAAGAGTAGGATACAATCTTAGCAAGGAAAGAGGAAGCTCATACGTAATCTGAAAATGACAATCAAACATAACCTGAACGGTAATTCCAGCAACAAGCATCTAAATAAACTCCCTTAGGTGGGAAACAAGATAGGAAAGGAGAAAAGATAGAACAGGAATGGAGGAAGTGGGCTAGCGGCATTGCCGCCCCTTCCAATTGCCATTCTGGCTTGCAGGAGTCAGGTTTGTTCTTCCCAGATGCCCCTCGGCTTCTTAGGAATCGAGACCGGCCCACAGAGGTCGTTCAATCTTGTTCGGGGCCGTAGGAGTCGGGATCGGTCTCCCCAGATGCTGCTCGACCTCGCGGGAGTTGGGATAGACCCCCATATGCCGGTCGATCCCTCTTTGGACCGATTTCATTAGACCGGGTTCGCTCAGTCTAACTGTCTGTCATTTCAGCCTGCTAGCCTCAGCCTCACGCCAATCTCTTAGGGTTGAAGGAGCTTCAACTTCATTTATAGAAACTTCAAATTCTTCATCTATAATCCCAACAACACCTGGATCCTGCTAGCGATTGCCCCATCCTCCAAGGTACTTGAGGTTCTTTCCCAACTTACGAGTAAACATCCACATCAGTACTATCTTCTGGGAGTTTACTATTGAACTGAATTGAATATTTCTCCTTGTTGCCAAGCACTCCCAAAGTCATCCATGACCAGTTTAACCAGATCTGAAGTGGGGGTAATCTGAACCTCCTCACACAGTGGCGGTGTTGCCCTTTGTCGTGCCTGTTTTGTGTCCTGAGCTGGTGTCTCTGTCCCATCATCTGTTGTCATCACCAAATCTCGTCCCACCGATGCTGCTCTACTGGTAAGGGCTCTTGTGACCTCGGTCTCCGCTCAACAAAGTAGGATGATATTTTCCCATCTTTGGTGAATGAATATGTGTTTCTAAATCCATTGTGCTGAGTCCTCTTATCAAGCTGCTACGTCTCCCTAACAAAAGATTACAGACATCCATAGGGACCACATTGCAGAACACCTGATCCTGTAGCTAGCTCTCGATTGAAAACTCCCTCAGGCATCTTCTGTCAATACTAATTTTGTTATTTTTCAGGCACGTCGGTGAATACGACTGGGAATGCCCCTTAGTCATGATGGTCAATTTATCAACCATATGGTAGAAACCACATTCTTACTGCTCCCTCCATCGATGATGAAACTGTATACCTTCCCTTTCATGGTGCACTGGGTATAGAATATATAGGGAGAAAGCCACTGCGAATTCCTCGTATCAATATTGGTTTGTAGGACCTGTCGAACTACGAGTGTTTCTCCTTTGTCTGGTGGAAGATGATACACCTCACCTTGTCCTCACCTATCTCCTTGTTGCTAAGTTCCTCCACGACGACCTGATTCGTGAGTGTGACTTCCCTGCTCGTGGGATAGCTGGAGGCTATGTAGCGGTAGCCATGACATCTGAAACACTTCATGGTCGATATAGTGTTGGTGCAATTCTATCCATAATTCATGAAAATTAATTTCCAATGCATGGAAACAACACTAAAGAAGATTGTGCAAATGCTAAATTTATGAAACAAGAATGCATTCTTACTTGAGAAGAAATATGAATTTATTTTTTTCCTGTTATTTCATAAACTTAAGCCTAAAAGCAACATCTTTTAAGAGTTTTGTAGAGCAAAAAAAAAAAAAAGACATCACAACCTTCATTCTTATGCACATTATTATCATGGTAAGCACGAATTTATCGCTTTTTCCTCTCATCTAGAGGAAGCCATGTCATAATTGGTTTATTCTAAAAACTATAAGGGATGAGATTGTGGTGGTGCTGACGGACTTGCGAACAGCCGCAACTTTTCTATTTTTTTAACTCAACAAGAAGCTTCAACATTCCTTCTACCTTATCTGCTCATAATTAAGTTCTATTTGATCAGGATAATTTACCTTCTTGTTTGGGATACAAAATCTGAACTCTTTATGTTCTTTAAAATGAGAACATCAGTTGCTGACATGGCATTGAAACTTTGAGTTTACACATTTTGTACATGTGTTGATATGAGATTTTTGTAATCTTGTAGGTTGATTTTCTAGTTGGGCGTCAAATCCAGGTTGGTTCCATTTACAAAGGTGTCATTTCCTCGGTTAAAGAATATGGTGCATTTGTGGAATTCAATGGCGGCCAGCAAGGTCTTCTTCATATATCTGAGCTATCACATGAACCGGTGAGCATCAGCATTAGAGCCTTCTTGATTTATAAATATTATTAATTAATGAAAGTTTCTTCTAATAACTTTTTTTTGTGCCATGTTTATTTTGCTGAATCAGAATGCATAATTAATTTTCAATAAACTTTCATTTTCTTGTTTTATCATAACTAAAAATTCAATCATATAATTATGTTTTTATTCTTCTTTGTAATTCTTATTTAACTGACTACTGTTTATTTGTGTATTATGTCGCAGTATCAATCAACTGATTCTGTTAGCTTATCTAGCAGATGACATATTTTAAATCTTTTAGTTGTTTTTCTGCTTTTGCTTAATAGCACAGTTTGGTGCTTGGGTTTTAGGAAAGGTCTTATTGCCCGATTTTACAAGGTGGGTCGCACATCTTGTTACCTTTTTTGTCTAATTGCAGACGATAACTTTGTGAGAATACAACTAAAGATCATGAAAAAATAATTTATATTCATTTAAAATTAGATATTTGTGGCTGTATGACAAGTTTATAGCAAAATGACATTTCAGAGTTCTAAATCTAAGGATGATTATATAGCTATATCTATCAAACTTATAATTTATACGTAATCAACATCTTTTTATAGTAGGTAAATCTTATACTCACCAAAGCATATATCACTTTATTCTCATTCTTAACGTATTACTTTGAAGTGAGTCTACAAGATCTAAGTCAGTGTTACTTACTCGACATAACTAAAGGAAGGACAATTCATCCTCTACCACAAGGATGATTACCTTCGTAACAACGATAACACCAATCTAGGGTTCCTAGATATTGTGGAAAGATTAAGGGATGGGTTAGAATATTAATAAGATGGATAGCAGTAGAAAAATAAAACAGGTGATGGTGATGACTAAAATTCAAAACAAATGGCGGATGGACAACAACTTGTCAGCAAGGTGGATGATGCAGAAAGTTTTCAGACATCCGAGAGAGATCACCACCTCGATTCAATCAGGCTATATACAGACCACCTTAGAAAAACTTATGAATACAACACTCCTTAAAGAATATTAGAGAGAAAACTATCTCTATTGTAGAAAATAAAAAACTAGAAGTCCCAAAACCCATGTTCATCACATATCTAAATAATCAAAAGCAAAATAAACCCTAGTTACCATTCTAATTAGGGCACTTTGGGGCCCATGGACTGGCAACAACTACTAGGCAAGAAAAATCTTGTCGTTTGGAAATTCAACGAGATAGAGACAATAACTCCCGCCTCAAAGGTGGGACCCCATATCACTCAATCCCAAACTCATGAACTTCACTAGGCACAAAATCATCAAGTATCAACAAATTGATAGGAACGAGAAAAGTTTTCGCAAAAATTAGAGTAGAAATAATAGATTGTATTCTGCCAACACCAACTCAAAACGATACAATTCGGAGTACATAAATGATAAACACTTACAATTCGAATGGTAAGCGATTTCTCCTAAAGCCTAACCCTAAGATTCAATAAGACAATCATGCCTCTCCTAACCCTAGACATATTAAGCCGTATTTATTCCCCACAATAATTTGTCATTTGTCTCATGCCTAACATAAGGCTTCAAACTATTTTGGCAGGCTTGACACTGACGTAATTGAGCACGAGCCGGACGGTACTATAGGCATGGGTCTAACATTACTCCTCTCTCAAAAAGACACATTGTTCACAAGGTAGAAGAGAGGAAACTCCTGCTAGATTAGGTCGTATGACTCCGACTCATAAACTGACTCGAGTCTGACTCCCGCTGTCAGTACTTAATTGAAATAAACGATGGGCTTTTGACATTGTATGAGGACTGCGCCTAACCTATAGCTTGAAGCATCCGTTTTTACAATGAATGGTTGGTTGAAATCAAGTAACACCAGCACATGTACACTTGTCATGTGCTTCCTTTTAACTTCTCAAAAGCCTAGTTTGCAATTTTCCCCCACTAAAAGTTATTCTTCTTTAATTGCTCCATCAATGGCCACGTAATCGAACTGTAACCATTCATTAACTTCCGATAGTATCATGTAAATCCTAGAAATCCTCAAGCCCCTTCAATGTTTTAGGTAGTGGCTAATCCAACATAGCAGCCATCTTCGATGGATCTGCCAACACCCCTAGTATTGTCAACACATTCTTTAAATAGTCAATGTGGTCTTTCAAGGAACGACTATACACTAGGATAACATCAAAGAACACCAACACAAATTGAAGAAAGCTGGAGAAACATGTATTCTCTTATTTCTTAAAGATAAAATTACAACTCCTTATATAACAAGGAACGACTAGTGCATGATTAATTACAACTTATCAAATAAAACATCTTAAGAATGAAGGAAATATGACATAATAAGAAGGGAATAAAAGAGAATAACACTAAAATAGAAAAATTCAAAATTCCGCACCCACTCAAGGTGGGTCATAGATGTTGTAAAGACCCAACTTGACATTCCAATTAGTGAAGCTACCTACTAGATAGAGATTTATTGAAGACATCATCGACTTTAAGTTGAGTTGGAATGTATATTTGGTGAATAATGCCTTCATTGACCTTTTCAGAGTACAATATCCATCAATCTCAATTTGCCTAATTATTTCATGATGCATGGGATTCTTTGTAATACTAATTACAATTTGGCTATCATAGTACATCTTTATGAGAGTGACAATGGAATATCTCAACTCATTTATCAACCTTTCAGATCCAAATTCCTTCACAAATTCTCAGAGTTAGTGCCCGATACTCAGATTTTATACTATTTTTAGAGATCTCTGCTTGCTTCTTGCTTCTCCAAGTGACAAGGTTTCCCCATACATATGAACAATACCCAAAAATGAACCTTATGTTCGTGATTTTTTCTGCCCAACTAGCATCAATGTAAATCTCTACATTCCTATTGTGTGATTTCTTAAATAGTAACCCTATGACAATAGTCTTCTGAAGAAATCTCAATAGTCTATAAACCATTTCTAAATGTTATTCATTCAGACTATTCATATGTTGTCTCGCAATGCTGACATAGTAAGCAATATCATGTCTAGTGTGTGATAGGTAGATAAGCTTACCCATACTCTCCGTTATCTACTCTTTTCCACTTGTATCTTTTCTTCCCTTGAATGTAACTCTTTGTTGAAATTCACAAGTCTTAATAGATTTGCACCCAAGCATGTTCTTTTAGTAGGTCTAGGATGCACTTTGGGATATCACATTACTCATCTTGGACCTGACAACTTCTACCACTTGTCGCTTGCTGCCGCCCCTTCCATCCCTTTCCCTGTTTGTCGTCACCCTTTCAACCCTTTCCATGCTTGTTGCCGCTTCTTCCAACCCTCCTTTGCTTAGTCACTGGACAACCTTCTTCTAGCTCTCTGGGTCACCCTACAATCTACAAGTCTCTGTTTCCATCACCTTTGTCCACAACCCACCACCTTCAAACCTCGTCTTAATGGGTATTTCAGCTACTCAGATGTCACGTTATTCCTTCCAAGTGCTGGCACTCGAGTCGACACCCGATTTCTTTGCTCCATCCCGCGGCTCCAGATTTGCCTAAGGCAGCGACGTTGCCCTGATGCCGCACGAACTCTTCTGATTGCTATAGCTCGCATTTTCTCCAAACGTTGTCGCTCGATTCCACGATGGGTGGTGACAGGTTTGCGTGAAATTCCATAATCTTCTTTACCATTTCTTCTAGGGCCATGAATCTTCCATCCATGGACGAGATCCGTTGCTCCATAGCCTAGAAACACTCCTTCATTCAATATCTGATTTGACTCACCTCTCTCTCTAATTTGTTCTCCAAGGCATCGACTTTTCTAGCCTCCATTACTTCCAAAGCAGTTTTGATCACGAAGGCGAAACTTTTGTATGTCGCGATTCCGTCGTTGGCTTCCCAGCTAGCTTGAATCGTGACAATATTGTGAGGTTTTGTCACGAATGCGCCCTATACGCCGTAATCCCAGTGTTGGCTCCCAGCTAGCTCGAATCATGATTGTATCAAGAGGTTTGGTCACGAAGGCGTCCTGTACGCTGCGATTTTATCGTTGGCTTCCCAACTAGCTCGAATCGCGATTGTAGAACGAGGTTTTTTCACAAAGGCGGAACCCTATATACTGCGATCCCTTCATTGGCCTCCTAGCTAGCTTGAATCAAGAGGTTCGGTCACGAAGGCGGAACCCTGTTTTTCGCGATCCTGTTGCTGGTTTATCAACTATCTCAAACCGCGACTGTATCACATTACTTCCAGGACGTTGCTCTGATACCAATTTGCTAGGAACGAAATAAGTTTCTACATGAATTAGGGCGAAAATAATAGATTATAATCTGCCTTTATCAAATCAAAATGATACAATTGCAAATACATAAAAAATAAACATCTACAATTTGAGAGGTAGACGATCTTTTCCAAACTCTAACCCTAAGATTGACGACACAAATTACACCTATTTTAACCCTAAACCTATTAAGTCCTATTTATACCTCACAATAATAACTAACAGATGACTAAATTGGTCTTTTAGTCTTTTGTCTAATATGTCTTCAATCTATTAGGCGGGCTTGGCATCGACTCAGTGGAGCACGAGGTTGACGATGCCTTAGGCTCTGGTCTAACAAACAGCTCTTACTACACTCAATCATCTGAGATGCCTTTAACCCAATTTTAGCATAAATTCTATCTAAAATGATGTAATGATATAGAGTGAATCAGAGGGAGAGAGATAAAGATGTAAGGGAAGGAGTACTTTGGAGGTTGGAGAGTTGTGATAATATCAAGAGAAAGAATACAATGTCCTATAGGACCATTAAATAAACAATGTCCATTATCCATATAAAATGGTTGATAATTATGCACACCGTCTTTTTGGTTCAATTCTCAGTTTCTTAATTGGTTGAAGGCTTAAACTTATGACACACACAATTTTTCAAGCTTTTTTAATGCTTTCTAGCACTTTTAGTGAGATTTATTTACAGAATGTCCTCTTTAACTTTGTCTTCGCTGACTCTTACCTTTTTTTTTTTATTTCAAATGTATACAGAGCCTGCGTTTAAATGTGAGTACTCATTTCGCTCTTGTAGTAGTTAGGTACTCAAAACTTTGATGAGTAAACTGCCAAATAGTCTTCACTATTTGGGTCATTTTAGCCATAGAGTTTATAAAATTGCTAAATTAGTCTCCCAGTTGTTTTAGTGGGAGCCAAAGTAGTTTTCACTAGGAACTATTCCAACCCAAATTAAACGAAACTAGGGATTAAATTGACATTTTTATAAAATTCTGGGACTAAAGCGGCCTTTTGCAAAGAATTAGGTACCATTTTTACACTTTAATTATATCTCAAACTTTAATTATATTATTTCTTATTATGGTTGATGCCTTACCTTCTGAACATTGCTTATCTCTATATCGCTGCAAACCAACAAAGAAGAAAATTTGAAAACAGAAGTTAAAACATTTTCTTTGCACAGCTATCAAAAGTCTCTGATGCTGTATCTGTTGGCCAAGAACTATCAGTAATGTGCATCGGTCAAGATGTGCGTGGCAACATTAAATTATCTTTGAAGGCCACTCTTCCTAAGCGTGGATCTGAAAAAAAGAATCTGGAAAATAGCAGTCCAGTTTCTTCAGATAGACAAGCTGTTAATATTTGGCCCACCTTAGATGATGTACCAATTGGAGAAGAAAACTCAAAATTTTCTGTTCTCAGGACTGAATGTGAAGGCGAAATTGAAGGCGGAAGTGTGCAAAATTCTGCATGTTTGACGTCATCTGTTGTTGTTCGGAGTGCTGCTGAATGTGATGCCAAGGATAATGCCATCTCCCGGCACGCACATAAGAAAACTACGACAAAATCTCTTCCCAGACCTTACAAGTCCGTCCCTTCGCAAAAAGAAAAAGTGTCAAGTAGATCTAGAACTGGTGTTTCCTCTGAAAAAAGTATTGCAAGTATGCTGAATGTTTCGTATGCTACAAATAAAGAAGAATCCTTACCTCTGGATGTATGCAAAACTAAATTGTCTAGCGTAACCAATGTTAAGATTAGTTCATTAAAATTGGGAGATAGATTTACAGCAAAGATATACCAGATACGCGCACATGGTTTGGTACTTGAACTTGCCGGAGGTGTGCGGGGAATGTACAAATTTGAGGTAATGTGGTAAACTTTTAATTTTTTATTCAAAATGCTGCTTAAAGTTTTCTGCATTCTTGTAGTTGATTGTGCTTCAGAGCCATTCCTGCAGACCAAAATATCACACATTGTTATGTATTTACATATTTGACACCTAAACTTTCATATATAAATGCATAACACTCTATTTTTAACATCACATAAAAAATACCACTATTGTTAACATTTTAAAACTGAAATACACCTTTTCATACATAGGTTTAGGACACCAAAGTGTTATAAATTTAAGTATCGAACTCTAAGTGCTAGATATGTAAATCCATAAGAATTGTGTTGTATGTATATAAATTTTCTTTTGCAAATCTGTATTTGATTTTCAAAAGTTTAGTAAAGTGTTTTTGTTTTGATGAAACAAATTTGAGTGTTATGAACCTAAATATTAAAATTGAGGTGTTAGAGATGTAAAATACAAAAATTGTGCTGTATGTATGTAAATACCCCTTAATAATTTTAGTCAGCGGTCATAACTTTGCTGGCAGCTAACATACACCTGGTATTTTGGCTTTGTAGGTAAATGGTAGAAAAGATTTTGAAGCAGGAAAAGAACTTCACGTTCAGTGCACGAGCTTCTCAGCTAAGGGAATTCCTGTTTTCTCATTGTTGGAAGACGAAGTAATGCAGTAAAAAATGTCAAAAATGGTCCCTTGACTTTTTGTCTGATGCCATTGTAGTCCCAGTGAGAGCTAAAATAGTCCTATTGTAAGATTATTTCAACCCATATTAAAGAAGTCTAGAGATTAATCGAATACTTTTATGGACTCTGAGACTAGAATGGCCGTATGCTAATAGTCACGGGACTATTTTTACATTTTACTCCCAAGTAATTCTGAAGAGGAAATCCATCTTTTGGCCAACTCCACAAGAAAGATTAACTTTGTTTTGAAGATTTTATGAGAGATGGCTCTAAGTTGGTGGTGAAATCCTGAGTTCTTTCCTGCTATTTGAATGCAAGTAGAATTCATTGCCTGTATAATTTAGCCTTCTGAACAGGAAAGGAGAACCCGCGATCGTCTTTTTTAATTATGTAAATCAATGGCTGTAGATCTTGTTTTCCCTCTTAAACTGTATTTTTTTTAATTTTTTGATTTAACTTTGTAAGTTTGATCTTTTAATGGAAGGCACGTGGAATGATTAGTTCAGCTTTTTATTCATAATGAAATTTTTGTATTGCATGAAAAAAACTTATTTTATGCTTGGTTTTTGATTATTGATGATTTATATTTAAGCCGAGCATATAGAGGAATGATGCCATCTAGGCTTTATGGTGTCCACTCAAACTTCATAGTTGATTGTAGATTTTCCATCGATATGCATCTTGTAATCTTATTATTATTATTATTATCATTATCATGATTTTTGATGTAGCACATTATTATGGATCAAAGATGGAGTCTACAAGTACAAGAAGCACATACGATGGACCGGACCTCAGTTTAGGAGAGGTGCTTTGCATAAAAAAGGTCCATTGATCTGTAGCCGGTGTCGGTCTAAGAAGGAAGTTTTGAAGATATTTTAAAGATAATGAAGGTATCATTTTATGTTCATTTTAATTCTTGTATGATGTCAAGTATTTTGTTTTTGATTGTTAACCTCATTGTCTACCTAATTTCAGTTTTTCAAAAATTTTCCACTGAAAATGAACTCTTTTTAATCCATTACATGTTCTGGATAGTGTTCAGTCTAGAACCTGTTTTCTGTGGACCTACTTATAAAGAACCATGCAAATCAAAATAATCACTTACCCAAAATTTTTAAAATTACCAGATTAAAACTAGGATTTATTTGCTTACATTTGAATACAATATCAAATCATTTGAAGTTTGGCTTTAAGTACACTATTACATTTTGTCTAGAGGATGATTCTGTTGTACAAATGTTGAAATTAGTTTCAAGAAAAATACCTAGAAAAATCCAAAAATTATAAGACTCTTTAGATCCAAATTAGACTTCCTCAACTTCAATCCACAAACCAGACTGGTATTTAGACTCTGGAGCAACCTCCCATCTTACCGCTGGTTATACTCAACTTCAGCTTGCTGAAATTTATCATGGTAATGAAGGAATTATAGTCGACAATGGTAATATTTTTCCCATTCAACATTCAAGAACCCATCTTCTTCCGACTCAGATCCAGATTATTACATACCCCACACATCTCTCATAATCTGATATCAGTATCTCAGTTAGCTAATGACAATAATTGTATGATTCACTTTGATGCGGATGGATATCAAATAAAGGACCGGATCACTCATCAGCTTCTTCTTTAGGGATTGTGCAATCATGGGTTATACCCCACTATTAGACATCATCAAGCTCTTGCTACCGTCGCCACTCTGACCGACTTATGGCATCAATGACTAGGACATGCTAATATTCATGCTCTCCAATTGTTAGCTCAGCAACAACCACAACTGCATATCTCCAGTAAGTGTACCTTTTGTATTACTTGTAGCACTATAAAAAGTCATTGTATGCCGGTTCCAAATTCTACTACTTCTTAATGTACGACATTAGCTTCAATACATTCAGATGTTTGGGGTCCTTCCCCCACAACTTCAACCCAAGGTTATCGATATTATGTTCTATTCATTGATGATTTTACCAAATACACTTGGATTTATCCTACAAAGCAAAAACCTGAAGTTATTATTCATTTTACTCGGTTTAAAAATCAAGTTGAACTTCAGTTTAATCTTCGCATAAAGACATTAAGAACCGAAAAAGGATATGATTAAATCAATCTTCAATTCAAAAATCTTCTCCACACTTTTGAAATTATTCATTAAACAAGATGTCCATACACTCCATGGAAAAATGTTAACGCTGAAACAAAACACCATCACATATTGGAGACCACGACAACACTTCTAGCAGATTCAAATGTCACATCTTCTCCCTGGCTCGAGGAGGCGCAAACAGCCACAAGCACACCATCCTATGCTAACTCGATCCAAAACAAGAAACTCACAACCAAAGAAAATCTTTGATCTACTACACCTCTGTTGACCCCAAATTGAACCCATAGCATACAAGCAATCATCTCAATTTCCTCAGTGGAAACAAGCCTTGACCGAAGAACTCCAAGCTTTTCAAAACCGACAAACTTGGAAACTTGTACCTCATCCTACTTCCTAACCAGTTATTGGAAATAAATGGATCTACCACATCAAACAGAAAGCTGATGAGACTATTGACAAATTAAAGCTCGCTTAGTTGCCTTGAGATATCAACAACATTATGGATTAAACTACACATCCACATTTAGTCCAGTTGCCAAGATTCATACAATACACTTACTACTTATTATCACTCTCCATCATCAGTGGGAAATTCTACAAATGGATGACTCCAATGCTTTTCTACATGGAACTCTTCCTGAAACAATTTACATGCATAAAACACATTGATCCTCAATATCCCTCACACGTATGTCTCTTGCAAAAATCATTTTATGATCTGAAGCAGGCACCAAGGCAATGGTTCCTAACTGTCACCACTCATCTCATTAAATTCAGCTTCAGAGATAGTGATGCTGATCCATCTCTTTATATCAACAATCACGAAAAGAATATTCTCTACCTGTTACTTTACGTGGATGACATTCTCTTAACCGGCAACAAATTCAGCTTAATTCAACAACGTAAGCACAACCTACAACACACCTTCTCTATGAAATTTTTGGAGCCCGTTGCCACCTTTCTCGACATCAATATCAAGCATACTACTTATGGTTATTACCTTAGCCAAGCAAATTATGCAAGAGAAATACTTCAACGTGCCGACACGACCGATTGTAAACCTCTACCAAATCCTCCATCTATGTATAACAAAATTACCACCAACTCTCAAAAACCTTACACCATTCTGCACCTATTTAAACACTTAGTTGGATCTATCCTATATCTCACTCTAACCCGACCAGATGTAGCATTTGCGGTTAACACATTATTTCAACATCTCCAACAACCTCTTCATTTACATTACCAAAACCTTAAGCGCCTTATTTGCTGCATCAAATGCACATTATCACTTGGTATACCTCTTTAACCCGAGCCTCTTGTACTTCATGCTTACGCCGATGATAATTGGGCTAGTGATCCCAATGATCGAAAGTCCATAACATGATACTGCAGCTTTATTGGTTCAAACCTGCTATTGTGGAATTTCAAGAAACAACCAATCGTTACTAAATCATCCACCGAAGCTGAATACAGAGCCATAAAATCTACCGCCACTGAATTTGTTTGGTTGAGAGTCTGTTACAAAATTTCACTATTCCTCTTCAAGATCCAACCACCATTTGTTGTGATAATATGTCTGCTATGGCAATTGTTCAAAATCATATCTTCCATGCTCGCTCAACATATTGAGATCGACTATCACTTTATCCAGAATCACCTCAAATCAAATGAAATTGTACCATTACATCTACCTTCTGAAGAACAAAGAATAGATATATTCACCAAGGCCCTCTCCAATTCTCGGTTTCAAAAGCCTAGAGACAAACCAACAATCTCCACTGCTGACATCATTAGTTTGAGGGTGCATGATAAAGAAGATAAGGGTTCACAATAACTTATGTTATTCTCTATTCCATTGTACCACATTCTTTAACTTTTTAGCTTCTCGGTATAAGTATGTTACTAGTAGTAAACTCATGAGTGGTGGAATGTTATTTTCCTTCTTCTCTCTTATTTCTTTTCTTGTTTTCTGCGTTTTTCCATCTTCTTCCTTCGTCTGCCTTGGTTTATATTGGGCACACATTTCATGCATAGGTAAAATATTATAAATATTAAAATCAAAACTTTAGGTGTTAGATATGTAAAAATATGTGGTAAATATGTAAATCTTTTTTTAAAACTTATTATTAAAATTTAAAATTTAAATCCTGCAAAAAAAGGGGGGTGGGGATTGTCAAAGGGGCCTTGCCCTACTTAACTTCATCAACATTGCTCAAGGCGCTCCTCATATGGGTGCAAGAAATTTAATCAAAATAGAATATATTGAGAAACTGCAATTAGTGGTATAAATGTGAGGAGTCGAGCTCGAGCTTAACTTTATATCAAATAGTGAGCTGGAGCTTGAGAGAATTTGAGCTCGGCTCGCGAGCTCGAATTAAAAATTCAATATTTACGGGAGCTCGTTGAAATAAAATTGGTGGCAGACAAGGCGGAGGATATAGTGAGAACTCACTGAAAAACATACAAAATGACTAGCTGTAAGCTAATCGGGCCGGCTCGTGAGTAAACAAGTTGAGCTAGGATGAACTCGAGCTTGAGCTCATGGCTCGATAAGCTCGACTCGTGAGCTCTTTAACCAGCCGAGCTCGAGGCTCGCTGGCCGACCCTTCTCATTTACACCCCTGACCGAAATAGAACACAAATAAAATAGCCGAACTCACTTTTTATTTAAAAGAAAAAAATGTTATATTTTTTTTATATAATTTTGATAAAAATGTTTAGCTGAGTTGCGACTTGTAAGACACGTTGCTTTCTCTCTTTCCTCAAAAAACATTGGGCCATTTATATACATACCATATATTTCTTATATATTTGCAAATCTAACACCCTAAACATTCATATTTACTTGCATATCACTCCAATATTGACACCACATTAAGAAAATAACACTATTATTATATATTAGAAGTGAAACATAACTTTTCATGCATAAGTTAATGGTGGCACCAAATGACTATAAGTGCTTCACACTTTTGAGGGTTAGATATATAAATACACAAAATTGTGTTATATGCATGTAAATTTCCACCCAAAAAACAAAAAAAAAATTACATACATACCACAAAATTCCTAAATATTTACATACTACATTTATATTTATTATATAGTAGAATGATAGTTGAAAATATGTATCTCACTTTAAAAATAGTGAGTAATGGCTATATTTTTAATATGTTGATAAATATTTCAGTATATTATAAATAAACATAAAAATTTAGGTGGTAGGGGTGTAAATAAATAAGATATGTAGGGTATGTTTGTAAATGATCCAAAAATATTTATATTTGACATTTCCAGAGAACTTTGTGTACGGATAAGGCCATAAAACGTGGCCTGAATTGTTTCATTTACCGTAAAGAAGCTAGAAAATCGAAGTAAAATAAGCAGACGGCGAATCTGGGCAGTCCGCCGCTACTCTCAGCCGTCCGCCGCCGTGGAAGTTTGTCGGCGTTCGCCGTTAATAAGATTTACGCCAAGCAGGAGGAGCAGAAGAAGGAGAAGATTGAAGGGGATGGGTGCTTCGGCGCCGCAGCAGTGGAAGTTCTCTCAGGTATTCGGCGAGCGGACTCCGGGGGATTTAATCGAGGATGGTTAGATTTTTATCTTTTTTTTTTTGAGCACTTTTTTTTATGGTAGATTACATGAAAGCTTAGGTTGTTGATAATGGTGGCTAAAGTCTATATCAGAAGTTGTGGGTGATGGGATGATCATTAATGCTGGGAGTTGAGAAGAAAGACTTGTGGATGAATTTCTTTTAATATAAATTTATGTAATTATCATATATTGATGCTCTCAAGAGTAACTTGGCAAGCTTTTAATTAGGGGTGTAAAAAAATCGAACATGAACGAACATAACTTGTGTTCGTGTTTGATACGTTTGAAATTTAGTTTGTTTGAAATAATCTCGTGTTTGAAATTTTTCGTGAAGTCATTGTTCGCGTTCGTTTCTTAACGAACGAGCTGAACATGAGCTGTTCGCGAACGACGAACTAGTTTGACATCCCTAATATTAATATATATATAAATAATATATTATATTAATTATATAACTTGTATTATATAAATATATAATATCTATATTAGTATATTATTGATATAGTATATTAATATATTATTATTAATTTATTATATATTATAATTTATAAAATTTAATTTTTTAAAATACCATAAATTTTTATATATAATTATTTTAAGAACAATAACAATTCAAACACAAACGAATGCATCACTATTCGTGTTTGTTTCGTTTAACTAACCGAACGAAAAAATTTTGTTCACGTTCGTTTCGTTTATTTATCGAACGAATTGAACACGATATCATTGATGAACCGAACACGAACTGTTCGCGAACAACGAGCTTTTTTGACAGCCCTACTTTTAATAGCTTCTATATATTCACGAAGGTCCTGAGAGAAGTTTTTGAGTATTTTTTTTCCTAAATTTATAACTAGTTGCTGCCTTTAGTGAATGTAGATAAATAAATTGTTGAATCATTTAAAAGTTTTTATGGAGGAAAAATTTTCTGTCCGGACTCCGGACATAGCTCTACGTGATGACTCCAGTAATAAGCCGCAATGTGTGTTATATTGAGCCCAACTAAAAAAAATATTAAAGTAGATACGCAGTGGTTATTGGAATGGAACCGCGGAGGTTATTGGAATAGAACTGCAGATGTTTTTTAGAGGGTTATTGAGAGATTATTGGGTGGTTATTGAGGGGTTATTGGGGTATTAACTCCAATAACGCAGCAGTAACCCCTCAATGACCCCCCAATAACCCTCCAATAACTTCCGAGGTTTCAATCCGATAACCTGCTGCAATAACCTCCTAATAACCCTCAAATAACCTCTCAATAACCTCCGTGGTTCCACTTCAATAACTCCCGTAATAACCCTCAATAAGCTCCCAATAATTTCCTCGGTTTCACTTCAATAATCTCCTAATAACCTCTGCAGTTTCACTTTAATAATCTCTTAATAACCTCCGCAATATAGCACACGTGACGACATATTACTGGAAGTCCGCAAGAAGAGCTACATCCGGACTCCAGATATAAAATTTTCTCCTTTGTGGAGGTGTGTTGATGTCGGTCAACTTTTCGATTGATTAGATTTATTTAAAAAAATATGATATATGAAAATAATTTTTTTTGATTTAATTTAAGTATAAAAGATATATAGAGTTTGGGTTTTGAAAGTAGGTGTTTTAATTTTTTTTTTAAAAAAAATGAGACCCAATGGATCTCATTAGTTCAATAGTTTGCATAATCGTGCCTGATACCGCGAATACTACACCTTCCCGAAAGATAAGTGTAGACCTCGGCGATAGACCCAATCCTGCAAACTACGAGATTTGTGACATCCATTTAGTCTGCGAACCTTTTATATATGACCGACAAATTCCCATATCTAATACAAAGATTAAATAGGGTTTATTTTACCTGGGTTCCAAGTTCCCTATAGAGGCAAGCCCCTATAGTTAATTACATCCCAAATGACGGGAGTCACTTGAGAAAACTCTCGATAATGATCAATGGTTGTAGTCTTCAAGAATTCAAGGTTTAGGTTTTCAAGGTAGGATGAGGAAAACCAAGTGGAAATGGCTCAATGCGGAACACTTATTTTTAGGAGTCCAAAGGAAGGAGAAGGTAGGGGATGTCACTGATCTGAGGGGAATCCCCAGTGACTTCCCAAACTATCCTACTGTGTGGCTGCATTTTTAGAGATAATGTTATTCGAATGTTCAATCCTGCCAATTTTATTATTTGGAACTTACATTTGCATAATACCCGATTATGCAAATAGCCCACAGAGAAAGGAGGGTTTACGTCGTACCA